TCTCAGGTGTTATTAATAATTGCTGAATTTGGTAGCTGTAAAATAATTTTATTTATTTGAAGCCATCACATTTTATTATTCATCTTGAAATAGTAGAATAGATCAATGTCAGCAAGTAATTTTACTTCTTTATTCAAGTTTATCCTGTTCAGGAGACTAAGCTGGTGAAGTAGATATTGAGAGGAAGGAGGAATTCAGCTACTTTATTGACCCCTTCTAGCTCGTGTTAGTGATTGGTCTGAACGGAGAGAGTTTAATTTATTTTAGATGGAAAAAATTTCTGTCAATAATACCAAAATACTCTTGATACTGTCAGAGTACCATGAAATACTTCTCTTTCACAAAGATTGATCCATGTTTGTCTGTTGCCTTCCTAACAGTCAACAGTGGTCATTCCTGTCTGCCAAACTGGTATGCACTACATCAAACTGCCTTTATGTAGAAGTCTTCTGAACTATGTTTGGGTTTGAGTCTCTTATCTTTCCCTTTTGTCCCAAAGCTCAAAAGATGAAAAGAAAGTAGCATGAGACTTTCTAGACAGATCTCATGAGATAGGCTCAAGTTAACAAACCTTTAAAATCAGGAAGCTGTAGTAGAGCCTCACGCATCCTCACACCAAAGAAGACAAAGCAGATGCCCACTTTAAATATGTTCTTTGAAATGCACTATTGAAAGAGGAGCATAAGAAGGAGCTGCTGGAAGGCACCAGCTGATTTACCAGCACTCAGGCTGGGTGCATTCCAGCAGGTCCTACAGTCTCTCAGTTGCTTAGTCAGATGGCAGGCTATTTTTAAAGACTTGCTGGTTTGTTGCCAAATGGGATAAAGGGACTCATCTGACTGACAGGAAAGCTTAAATTTTTCCAAGCCTGTCAGGAAAGAAGTCTTGTAGTAAGGGGAAAGCTTGCACTCTGCCATTTGCCAAAGACAGGACTGACAGGAGGTAAGACTATTAAATAAATGGATCAGCTTTCTTTACTCAGAAGCTGTGCAGGAATGATAGACCATCTGCTCTCCTGATTGTCCTTAAAGGATAAATTAAAACTGAAGAGAAGTTTGGCCAGGTTTTCTCCTTCATTCTTTCTAATGAGCCCTGGTGCTGCTAGCTCAGCATGCAATTTTAATTTAAGACAACTGTTACTCCTTATGTCAGTTACCAGCTTGCAAAGACCCTGACACTGTGGTTAGTGAGACATGAGGAGAACCATGTAAATGCAGAGAATTTTCTATGTGTAATTTGGAGGCGAGGTAATATATGTTTAATAGGTTATACAATCTTTCATGAATCTTTATTTGTCCTGTACTATAAGGGTCTGAGGTGCTTCATTGCTCTGCTTTTCTGTTTATTTTTGGCCACATTTAATGGCTTTTGTTGGGTTTAAGTTTTGCTCTTTTACCAAAATTCATTTTTACAGCTTATGCAAGAACTTTCCTCAAATGCTTAATGGACCTCTTCAGCATCCAAATGAGGCACTAATATAATCATTGTCTATTAGAGGAGAACAAGTAATAGATTGAGGAAAAGGCATACAGATAAGCATCATTTGGCCTACCATTAACCTGAGAAAGCAGAGTGCTTCTCTTGGTTCTCATGAGGAGGAAGAAGCCATTTGTTTTGATGAAACACAGGAAACTTGTCAGGGCTATCTGAAAGCAAGGCTCAAGTTAAGCAGTCTTTCCACAGTCTGTGCCACAAATACATAGAAGAATCTGAAGGACAAAGGCTGTGGATTGAAATCTTAAACAGACAAGTGTCAAGAAAATCCTAAACTGGGCTGTCTTTCTAGCCAGCCATGCAGATATGGCAGGCAGCTGGGCCATGCCCTTTCTTGTCCTTAAAGTTCTTGAGTAATTCTTCATGCACTGCACTTCATTTTTAGAAGAGCACCCCTTGAAATTTTGCACATTCATTCGGCCAGGAATTCCACTGTGGTTCAGCAGCTGTACAATTAATTAATAGCATGCTGGAGCTGGAAGGGAGAAGTCATGACAGAGACCAAGGTGCATGCTATAGTTTAAACTATAGCCTGGAGCTTGGTCGCTCTGAGGTAATGCAGACTGTTCTTTGTTGTACAGGGCTACTTTTAGCTACAAATATTTGATGACTAAGTAGTCATTGATGCTTTTTTTTAAGTATTATTTTTCTCAGAGTAAGGATAAAAGCCCAAAGATACCTGGAAAAATTTAAGAGATGCATGAAAAAGGTTCCCTGGGGAGCCCTGCCAGACAGTGTGTCCAGACACAGGGGTCAGACCAGGGAGCTGGTGTGACTGGAGTATGACAACACATAATATGATTTGCAAGGTGATCTTTCTAGCAGATGTCAGTCCTTTTTAGTTATTTCTAGCTTTCTCTTACTTGGTATGTGTTAATCATCCTGATAAAACAGGCAAAGGAGAAAGAATAGAAAGTCTCTAGTTTGCATTGCCATGCCTTTGATCAGTAGTGTTTAAAGTGTACGTGGAGTAATGAAATAAGAACATTTATTTGGTTTGTTGTTTTTCTTTTTTTTTTTTTTTTTTTTTCATTAAAAGGCTACAAAACAACAGGTGCAGATTTGCCAAGGAAACTTAAGAGATTTCTCTGATGCGATTTGTGTTCCTGGTCCTTACATGATGTGAAAGTAGCTGCATTCAGCCTTAGCCAAAAACACACTGCTTACTCTGGGATAAAAATAGAGCTCTAAAGAAGGCAAGCAAATTATCTTTTGACTATCCCTGTTTCAAGTTATTCAGAGACGCTCTTGTATGCCACTACGAAAGATTAGATATATCAAACAACTAGTAACTTCTGCTATATATAAGGTGATTTCCACATTTCCAAGTGATAAATCAGCAGGAAATTCAGAGGACATTTATGTACCTCTTTCTATTAATTTTAAAACTGATAATAACTGCTTGCCTGTTTCCTACAATATTAATGATAATATTTCTTTTAGAAAAAAACCTTCCCAACTCATAGGGAGAAATTGGAGCATGAGAGAGCAAATTTTTAAACAAAGCAGGTAATTCACATTTGGATGGTACTCTTGAATAAAAAAAGCATAAAGTTCAAAAGAACTCACGGAGGCATGGAAGCTGATTACTTCAGACTTCCTTGCTATGGTTGATATGAGAGCTGCTAAATGTGAATGAATCATTGTAAGGTAGCACTGCTATAGCAGCAGTGATTTAAGAAGCTAGATAAAGCTTTTAGAAAAGGAGACTGTTGTTACACCTATTGCTTTAGGGGGTTGTGATGGAGGAAAGAAATAGATGAGATTTTGGATTGAAACCATAAATCATCCTGTTCCCTAATAAAGGGACTAAAATATGGTCATATTTTAATTTCTGATATTGGTTGGTAGTATCATTTGGCATTCAGCTGTCCTCAGTTCTCAGGTAAATAGGCAGGTTATACTGGGGAAGGAGAAGAGTGTTCTACCCCTCTTTGATCAGTCTGCTGAGAAAGCCAGCAAGACTTCCAGTTATGCTGGTGGATTTTGTGTGTGTGAGATATAAACTCCTGTGGTAGGTACATTCTTCTCTCTCTCAAGATTTTTCATAGAGGTGCACAGAGAGAAGAAAGAGAACATTTCTGTTTCTGCTCCTTGTTTTCCCATGTGGAATGTGTTTGGAGAATTGTTTCCCTGGGGTAATTGCTTGGTTGGATTCTGGTGAGGATTGTTTGAGCTGATGGCCAATCCAACCCACCTGTGTCTAAACTGTCGCGAGAAGGTCACAAGTTGGGAGTTAGATATGGTAGTTAGAAAAAGTAAGTATGTAATTTTAGTATCTCCTTTAAATAGTATATTAATTACAGTATAGTTATAATAAAGAAATCATTCAGCCTTCTGAACTGGAGTCAGACATCATCTTTTTTCCCACCAGGTTCACCTACATTTACAATAAACTCCTATTTATTTTCCATAACGTGGTAAGTCACCAGATGGTAGAGGATTTTATCCATGCTGTTGTAGCTGGATTTGTACCAGTAAATTGGAGGTGAAAGGTACCATATGCTACTGTTAATCCCCAACGTATTCATTATTCCTAAAATAATTTTCAACACCTTTTAGTGCTGACATCTCCCTTTTATTAACATCCATCCTTATTTATGTGGGTAATGTTCAGATGAAGTGTAATTTGGAGTACACAGGGTTTTACGTGAGTGCTGCTAAGATTCAGTGCCAACTAGAAAGTCAGTTGTCCTCAGACAGTGATTTGGTGGCTTATGTGAAATGAGTTGGTCATATCATTGCAGTCTCCAGTGGATAGGGACTGTCACCAGCAGCCTCAGCAGAGAGACAAATTGCAGATAAGTGTGATAACTTGGGAAGTGATACATGTTCAGGTGGATAATAACTAATTATTACTACCAAAAAGTGTTTTACTGTGAGCAATGCTTACTGTCACTGCTGGCAAGGACCTGCTGGGCTGGGATGAGATTGTTCTGAGGTTCTGGCAGCAGAGCTTATTGAAGGTACAGTTAAAGATGGGACCTTGGTGACTGTGTGGGGAGAGGGCAGGTTTGGAGGGAGGTGTAAAGCACAGGATTAGTGTTGAAGGAGTTTACCTAGATCAGAATTTTCCAAGACTAGGTCACAATCAATTCTGGGACAACACTTAGGGGTTTGTTCAATGGTTGGATATTCTTCAGCCTGGTAAGTGTCCAGGGTGATGGACACTTACAGCCCACTTTCTGCAGAAGCACCCTGACTACAGCACAGTGCCTCTAGAAACACTTTGTGGCAGATTTTTCAGTAATGTGTTAATATCTGAGTTAACAGGTTGCCTTTTAAAAGTGATAGGCATAAGATTTCCAGCATGATTTAATGAAATAATTTCAAAGCAAGGAAAGTGTCAAACCTTATGCTGACAGTGGGAATAGGACTGCATTTATTAAGCCAAGTTATTCAAACCTGCACTTTTTACTTCTATCAAGTGAAAAAGCACATGCTAACTGATAATAGACTGATAGATTTGTACACAGAGCTGGTTGGGTGGTGGTTGGCTTTTTTAATTGTTGTTTTGAGGGTTTGGGGGTTTTTTGTTTGTTTTGTTAGGATATTTAGAGTTCTTTTTCTTTGCCTTGGATTGGGAAAGTATCAAAGAAAGTCAATCATTCATTAAGTTCTTGACTTTTTGAATAGGGATGAAACATCTTCAGAAAAGTTTAACTGAAAACAAAGCACCCATGTATGTGCTTTCCAGCAGGAATTTTCTGTCTATAACCTTGCAAGTGTTAATGAACTACATTTGGCACTTTTGTTAGCAAAGGAGTTTAACAGCTTAGCCAACTCTATTTAAACAAAACAATTTTCTGATCCTACACACAAATAAATACTCATGGGTGTCTTAGCCACGTCAAACTCATAGCCTCTACATGAATGTTATAGAAAAACATATTTTGGAAACAATTTTTTATTGTAGTGAAAACATACCATCATGTTCATATGTATACAAACACACAATAAAACATCACTGTATATTCACTGAAACGCCTCCCACTCAGTGTAACCAAGCCTCTCTCAGCTCCTGCACAGCAGAACACCCTGTGTGACCCCAGCTGCAGCGAGCAGGAGCAGCACCAGCTCGCCCAGGTGAGCTGCACAGAAACAGAAACAGGTGCCAGGCTGTGCCCACCCTGAGCCCAGCAATTCTCTGCCCTGCCCCAGGCTTTGGGATGGCTCAGCCTGCTGCTGCAGGGCCACGAGGGGTGGCTGTGCCTCACAGGCTCTGCATCAGCTGCTCTGTGGGCAGCCAGGAGAGCACAAACATCTCAGAACATCTGCTCACAGTGTTCAGCAGCACCGCAGTATTTCCTGCTGTCTGGCATTATTTGGCTTCCAGTGGTTTATATAAGCATTTCTTTGACAGATGTGTGGCTCTGTTTCCCATCCCCTGCCACTCAAGGCAAGAAGGGTCTACACGAGTGATCCAGTGAGGTTCTGCAGGATGTAGAAAAATTGCATGGAAATATTCTGTTGTTTAGCTAAGCTGTCTAAAGACAATCCAGTAACTCTCACTCTCACTTAACTCCAGAGAGTGTCAGGTGGCTGTTGGCACATGTGGGCCGAGAACTACAGATGTAGCAGAAATAAATCACTTGGCCTTTTTTGCTAGCACAAGCTACTGTGATGGTAATTGATGCCCTAACCCTGCCAGCTGTGTTAGTGACCTAAACAAGAGACCTCGGGTGACTGAACAGAGCCCCAACACGTGTAGTCAGAACTCTCCTCATAACTTGAAGATAAAATTCCATTTCTTTACTTGGAAGTCCCCCTCTCAATTCAGCTATTTCAAAATGCTTCTCCTGTTTAAGGAATTTTATGCTGATTTCCAGTAAACTAAGAATAATTTCAGTTTTTCCCTTCCCTACCAAATGTGTTTTTCCCTTCCCTACCAAATGTGCATGGACTTAAGTACCCGATTTTGAAAGGGAGCTCATGACAGGCTATTGCCCAGTTCAATAATTTCAAATATTAGTTGGCTGAATTCAACCCTGAGTAAACACTAAATAAAATACAGATATAAAAAATGGGCACAAATGCCAGCGTAGTATTTAATTATTAAAACTAGTCATCTTTCTATTTCAACAACTAAATCCACTATGAAAACAAGCTGGGAAGGAAACACACAACAAATAAATAATGAAAATATGAAATATGAAATAAAATGTCTACATACAAAAAAAAGTAAAAATCAAGGTTAGTCACTTAAGCTTCACAGAACATTTGCACGATGGAAGCCCTTCTGTGCCCCAGCTTGTGTGTGTGCCAGAATGAGCTGCAGAACCACCCATGCTGGTTTAGAGATGCTGTGGTGTGGGGCAGAGCACTGCCCTGCCTGGCCAAGGCTCCCTGTGGGGCACTGATGGGCAGTGGTGATGCTGATTTCCTCAGGGGGCTGCAGGCTCGGTGCTACCCTCTGCTTTGCTAATGCCAAATGTACAGAAGAATAGCTTTTCCAGTGAGGTTTTGTTTGTGTCTGCTTTAAAATCTTGCAAATGCTTTAAAATAATGCTAACATAACTCTAGCACAATAGCTCTCCCCTACAACTCATTCCTTTGCAAATCAAATATTACCTTCTGCTAGTGTTTTATACCCATAAAATTGCCACTGAACCTCCAGTGAGGGGATAAAATGCCAGGCAGGGATTTTCAATGTGCATTTTATCTTGGTTGTCCATGTATCTTGTCTTATCCGAGATTTTTTTTGCCTTTTGTCTACAAAATCTTTCTATGTCCATTTTGAAGTTAAAGAAAATTGAACTTTCATAATCTTTGCCACTTCTGATTGCCTCTTAAAAATGTCAGTTTACATGGAAAAGCCAGAAGAAATTGAGGTAATCAGACATCTGTACATTTTAGCCTTTCATTTGGAAAACATCTGTATCCATCCATGCAATGTTAAGACTATAAGTAACTTTGCAGTTACATCTGAGCCCGTTGCTGGGGCAGCAAGGTAGCATTTATCTCCCACGTGTATTCTATCAATTTCTTTTTTTCTTAAAGCAGCTTCCTAAAATGAAAAACAGAAAAGCAGTGGTTAAGTTCATCTCTTTCAAACATTGGATTCAAGGCTTATACAAGGCAGCCCTTACTGTTTTCCAGCTGTGGAAAATCTAGATGCTGATCCTTTTCAAGATGAAAAAATGAACGACTGACATGGAAAAATGGGAACTGCTGTTCCTTTCAATTAAAAAAAAAACGTTGCTGACAATCTGGGAACACGAGATTTTGCTGCTGCATACTTTTTTAATAGTATGCCAAGGAACTGTACTACAGTATGGTTCAAAGTGTGGTTTGCTGCTTCCTACAGCAGGAATACAGCTCATGCAAGTGTGCATGCTAAAATTCAGTCTTGGAGGACCTCCCTTGTGCTCAGCTTTCAGCAAAGCACCCAGCTCAGACGGATTAATTGTTTGGAATTGTAAAGTTCTGTCCCAGCTGGTGCCCACCACAGCAGGCAGGACTGCACCAATGATCTGTCCCGTGCTGGTCACTGCCAAGTCTTGAGGACTCCAGACAAACTAGCATTTTTGTTTGGGCTTTTAAAAACTTCTGGTTTTAAACAAAGCACTGGGCAATGGGAATTACACCAGAAGATTTAACAAGATTCTATCTGTGCTTTTAAGGACCTACATTGATGTCAGAGCTCTGACACCCATTAACTCTGGAATTCCCCTTCACTGCTTTTTTTTTTTTCCTCTGGGACTTCTGGGATTATTAAATCTGGAAAAGGGTTGAACCTCCTTAAAAATAATGATGAAATCTTAGCCTCTAGTGTCCCAGCATTTCTAGAACCTTAAAAAATACTACAGTAATGTAAAGGCCAGAGGACAAACTACCAAAGGAGTTATTTAGCCAGACAAGAGATTTCACTCACATTTGATGCTGCCTAACAAACTCTGCAAACTGGCGGTCCTTAGCGTAGAGCTCTATAATTCGAATTCTGTCCTGAATTTCCTAGAATACAACAAACAGAATTATAAGCACATAATAGAAATCAGCATGCTACTGAAATTACTGATTTCTGGGTTTTGGGAAATCAAACTCCTATGTGTTGTTATTTCAAAGAGTGGAGCTTGAAAATTGGGCACTCCAATGCTAAAATTCTTCTTTATTTTATTTATTATAATTTTTCTAATTGAAAATAAAAAAAAAGTGAAGCACTTTATTTGAATTCAATAATACTTTTCTAAATCAAAACCAGGGTTTGGACAGTGTGTAGCATTTCAACAGGTTTTAACAAAACCATTTATCTCTCAGAGATACTTTGCCTACCAGTCAGCCTACCAGCTACGTACTGGATTCACCTCTCACAGTTGTTTAAGTTTCTGTGCTTAGTTCTGGGACGTAAATCCCTTCTCTTTTTTCTAGAGTAAACCTTGGATACTGTGTATACAGGAAGAAATAAGATGTGATCTAACCTGCAGCTTATAGAAAGACTTGCACTTTAAAAACTATCAGAAAAAAACCCAAAACAAAAGCACCCTGTGAAACAGGCCTGGATGTACCAATTTTTCACTGTGCAACTACTCTTACATAAGAGAGTTGGCTTTAAAAGATGCCTCAAGTAATACATCAAACCTCCCCAACTCCCATGAAGTGACCTAAGGGGTCAGCTCCTTTATTATGTAAAATTCATTACAGGTCAGAAAAAACCCATAACCTTCTCTAAAAGCAAGCAGGGAAAGCAAACCTTTCTGTCTTATTTCAAATAGCTGCAGCAGCTGCAGCCTGTTTATCTGGAGCACAGACCCTGGGGAAAGATCGGGCGCACCTCTGAGGGGAGAGGTGTGGAGTAAGCTTACTGCTCCCGTGAGCTTTCCCATGCCACTGTGAAAACAAGGTCATTTACCTCCTTAGTAAGCTCACTGTTCTCATAAATGTGCCTGATCTCTTCACTGCTGTAGTCTGTGGATGTCTCTGCACTGGTGGAGCTGTAGGACGTGAGCTGCGGGTACCTCCGGTAATAGTGGCTGTAGCCAGTCGTGTCACTCTCGTACATGGGGTTGTACTTAACTGCATTCTCCATGGACGAGAGGCTGTCACCCTGCCTGGGGAGCAACAAACACAGTCAGCTCCTCTGCAGCCTGGAAGGGCAGCAGAGACACTGAGGAAGCCTGGCATTGGAGGTGCCTGTACGTCCTGCTGCTTGTAAACTGTGTGCTATTAGACTTACGACAGAATTATCCTTACTGCAGCCAACGTGCTTTAAAACACCAGATGGTGTCACCTACCCCTGGGAGTCCCCAGTATCACTCTTTGTGTACTGGTCTCGAAGGGTCCTGGCCAAGAAGAAGATGACAGCAGATGCCACAAGAAGGAATCCTGCCACAGAAGCGATTGCAATACCCACAACCAGCGGCTCGGACACGTATTCCTCACAGTGCTCCCCTCTGTACCACCAGTTCTCTCCCACACGGCACCTGCCACAAAGACACACAGGGAAATTACACACCAGCAAAAGCTTTGGTTAATGTATCTAAGTTCCTGGTATGATGTGCCCTCAGTTAAGTCACCCTAATAAATATCTTTTCATCGTCCAATCACTAATTTTCTTTATTGTTGTTATTATTATGTACATACTTTTTGGTAGATAACCATATAACCGTTTGAGTTGAAAAGAGACCTTTAATGGTCATCTAGTCCCCTGCAATGAGCAGGGACATCTTCAACTAGATCAGGTTGCTCAGAGCCCCCTCCAGTCTAGGGGCATCTACCATGTCTCTGGATAACTGGTTCCAGTGTTTCACCACCTCCACTGTAAAATATTTCTTCCTTATATCTAGTCTGAATCTACCTTATTTTAGTTTAAAACCATTACACCTTGTCCTGTTGCAACAAACCCTGACAAAGAGTTTGTCCTCACCTTTCTTTCAAGCCCCCTTTAAGTATTGAAAGGCCACAGAAAGGTCTCCCAGAGCCTCCTCTTCCCCAGGATGAACCACCCCAGTCGTGGAATTGAATGCAGGCAGGTAAAATAGCAAAAGGGTCGTGTATTTGTGGTGGAAAACACCTGTGCTTTATGAAATGTACAGTACCCCATAAGGTGTTAAAAGTGGAAGGTGTTTAGACTGAGGAAAAACTCCTGCCCTGACTGAGCCTTGCATGTGACATATCAACACTGCAAAGATAAAACTGGAACAGGCTTGGTTTCAGACACTTACCTGCTTCTGATTAACGCTATTGCACAAATGTTTAAATGTATAATGCATCTGTGATAATATCCAATTTTAAAGTTTAAAACCCATTTTTATTTCTTCTTTTAACTGTTAGCAGTCTAAGATGGACTTTAGAGAAGTTCTAGGTGAACTTTAAAAACAAAATCACATGAAGTAACATAAATAACTACTAGTAGTAATACTAATGTTTGTGGTTGTTCTCTTAATTTTTGTTGATAGACACATTTTATTTTTAAAAATAGACTATAAAATTGTTTGAAAAGTAAAAAGTAAAGTGCTGTGTCAGGGGCATCACCAACTTGCCTGCATTTTGCACAAAGTCTTTTTGATTACCTGCAAAATACAGCAATCCTGTTCAGATGCATCTGTATCTTTTTTTGAAGCAAATATCTGGGGCCTATTCCTTCATCCTTTTATGAACCTACATGATTTTTCCCAAATTTACAATGATTTACTTTTATCTTTTTTCCAGACCAAAAGCTGTATATTTAATGTATTTATGCAGTATCAATGTGATGTTCAGATACAAATTTCTGTTATGGAATTAACTCTCACAGGTGACATGACGCTATCACTTTGCCACTTGAGAAAACCTCTGGAGGTAAATTCTGTCCCCAAAGGCCAATAAAAGTGATTTGAACAACTGAGTGCATTCCATTACAACCTCTATTCCTTGTTAGTTTGTTTTTTTTTTTCTGATGTTTCTGTTCTATTAATTTTTTACTGTCTCATTTATGATACACACATAGAAAAACCAATGTTAATACTGCGACTTGCACTGAGCAGCACAACGCGAATGATAATCACAATCTACTCACTTGCTGCACAATACTGCACAGAATTTTGGACAGATCTATAGAATGCTACAACAGAGGAGACAATAGGAGTTTTCACCCAGGAAGCACAGCTTTCAGCAGCAGGGTGACCTACCTGCAGATGGCCCCTTGCCCAGGGCTGATGTCACACTTGCCGTCGTTCAGGCAGAAGTTTGGCTGCAGGTCACAGATGCTGCTGCACGGCAGCCCATCGATGCTGAGGTAGCCAGGGTTGCAGACACACTCTGCCTCCCCACTCCAGCGGTTCACTAAGCATTCTGAGAACTCATTGCAGGCCTGGAACTTGCAGGGATCTGCTTGCTCACCTGACAATACACAGAGCAAAAACTATTAATGAAAGGAGAGAGACTTGACTGAGACAAGGTGCTGGCTGCCATCTTCTCTAATGGCTCCCTGATAACCCACAAAAATCCTGTGTGCATCTTTCCTGAGTAACAAAAGGTTCTGCTAAGGTGAATCAGCACTAGCAAATATTCCCCTGTCTGCACATGCCAGTGGCATGGCTAAGACCACACAAAAAACAGTCAAAAAAGCATGTATTAAGTGAGTTTTTCATACTGGAACAGGCAGCACCTCATATTTTATCTGTCTGCTGGAACTTTCTTTTACAAATGACTAAACCAAAGGGGGTCTCCAGTATTTCTTGCTATGGAAAACCTAGGCAGCATATGGGGAAGGGCAGTGGAATGTCAGGCACTCACCATCTGCTGTAAGGGGATTTGCCTTTTTGTCTACAAGGAGTACAAGCTTGAAGCATTCAAAATATCTCACTTATATCAAGCTTAAGAGGCTGGCATACAGCTAAACAATCAAGAGCAGAACATTTGCTATGCTAATTTGACCACTGTTATAAGAGACCTATCTGGGAAGAACAGCTACCATATGCCAATAGGTCAGAACTCTTATTTTTCCCTAACCTTAAACCAGGAGAGATTGCTGGGTTGCTTATATGGTAAGCTACTGTCTAACTTGGACTGGGGAAAAAAACAGAACAACCTTCTCCCTGTATCAGAGACGTGAAGCAAGAGAGCTTGTCACATTACCAGAGCAGATGCCCACCTGGCCCGTAAACCAGCTACTGCCTGTGGGAATGACCATGTGGAATAAGTTCAAACCACACATGAAAGTAAGCACAAGAGAGATGGGCACCACTGTGCTCCCTGAGCTGTCTGCTCCTCCACTCCCCAGGTCAAATACAGGGGCATTATACATTAATTTTTCTCCATACATTTATATGGATCCCATACAGCTTTCTCTGTCTGGGTCCCACTTTGACATTCATTTCTTTAGTCCCAGAGCAGATTTTCATTTGTTTGTTTTTACTCTATGAAAAACTGTCTTTCTAAAGCCCAGCCTGTGAAAAGCAGTGGGCAACCTCTGAGCTGTGGGATCCTTAGCACTTAAACCAGAAATTTTTCTTTATCTCTTGCTTTAAGCTGCATTTCCCTGCTGCCTTACCCGATTCCACATCCAGGGAGTATTTGTCGATGGCCAGGTTCATGGTGTGATATGCAGTGTTGCAGAAATCTTCCAGGATCATGTACACAGCGTTGGTGACATTCCGAGGCACAGGTTTGGCAAATTTCATTCGACTGTTCACCACAATGCTGCCATTTCTGAAGTTCAGGATTTCCAGATTCTGGAATCCCGTCAGATTTGACTGAAGGTACGGCACCAGCTGCAACACAGGGGATATGACAGAAAAGCTGAATCTGTGAGCCTCTCTCTGCTCAAGCCAGTTGCACTCTTACTGCAGCAGACAATCAGAGTCTGAATGATTTTATCCAAATCCTACATCAAGGTCATTAATCTTTACCCAGCTGAGGTCCTGGCAGCCTGCCAGGAGCCTGAGTACTTCAGGTAGTTCTTAAGAGTATAGCAATTTGCAAGGAGTTTCTAAAAATCTACAATTCAGAAACACAGTTCTCAGGACACACATTGTGTTCTCCCTCGATCTAAGTACCTGGAATACTTGCCATTTCACAGGGTTTTTCCTTCGAGCATGTCCCCCTTCCCTCTCTCTGCTTTGCTTCCTTCGTCTCTCACAAGAGAATGCTTGTTTCGCTCAGAAGAGGGAAATTTCCCCAGTTAAAATTTGGCAGTTGTTGCTGTGTAACTCCTGTGAGGCTGTCCAAGTCATCAGTCAGGTTAGGAACAGCTTAGCTCCCTGAGCTACCTCCTACTTAGGACAGGTTGAATGTGTTGCAGAAAGGTTACCTGCTCACAGCCCCAGGTTTTCTTGCATCTTTCTTCTTGTACACTAACTACAGAGCGCTCTGGAAGCAAGCAGGGGAGTGTAGTAGTGACTTCAGCTACACTGCTATATTTATTGACACCAGCAGAGCAGCTGGTCCATGATGCTAAGCAGCTCTCCTTTAGAGAGACTATTATTGAATAAAAGATGGACAGCATCCCCCCACCCATTTCCAGACAGAACTTCCCCCACAGAGGGACACAAATCTTATATGTGAACCCCAGTTTTGAGTTGCTTTCTGCAAAAGAGAGATGACTAAATATAATTTACCAATGGTTTTTGTCTACATGGTAGTGGAAATTTAGCAGAGAAGTGCCTCTTACCAGTTCCAAGAATCGCTGCTCCAAGGCTTTGTATTCAGGGGAGTTTTTATTAAACAGGTCCTCTGAAAACATCATGTTGGTGACCCGAAGACTGAAGAACACAACGAGAGTTCGGGATGGGACGGTGCTGCTGTAGTGAGTTTCATGGGTGGCCCAAGCCACGCTGGCCATCTCTGTGGACTGGACACGAGTTGTTCGCTCCATGTGACTTTCAGTCATTCTCCTTCCCTCCTCAGTCTGCTCAGGAGCAAACTGGACAGTGCTAGCACGACCCAGGTCTGCTGAAACATCCAGGACTCTTGTTGTGCCATCTCCCAGTTTTGTTGGGGTAGCTACAGACGATGACGGCGTGGATCCCACAGGAGGAGGATGGGACTGAAGCTCAGTGGTGCTGGTTGTTACACTCACTGTTTGGTAATCCACAACAGTGCTGGAGCTGATGGAAATATGTGTGCCATGGTCTGTACCATCCTGTCCAGCAAAGCCCTCTAGGACGGCGGTGTGATCGGTTACAGAAGGAACTGCAGCTGGGCCCTGAGTAACCACTGGCATTGCTGGTTGCACTGTCTGATCTAAGGAGGTTTCCAGTGCCCTGTCAGTAGGCCAAACACCAGCTGGTTCCTTCACTGCTGATCCACGAGTGTTTTGGTCTGCCAGTGATGAATCCAGGGCTTGCTGCTCTCGTGTAGAGGCATCAGGCTTTACCACAGCAGGGTCTGCAGTCAGAATAGTTTCTAAAGAGATTGTGTCCAAGTGTTCTATTGTAGCAGCTTCCATTACGTCTGGCTGCTTCACTGTGAACAGCTCTTCTACCACTGCCCTGTCTTTGTTTTGGTGTTCAGCTACTTCAGGGATTATGTTCTGGCCTACACTAGACTCCTCAGGTTGCTCCATGCTGACAGTCCCTGTGGATACATGGAGACTATCTTCCACAGACAGATCTGTTTGTGGTGGTGAGACAGGGGCCTCTGCAGCTGGCATGACAAAAGAGGAATCGTACATGCCCAGAGTTTCTGTCTGTGTAGATGGTTCCACAGTCGATGGCTCTTCTGTCTGTAACAGAGGTACTGGCAGAGTTGTAGTTTCTGGAAAGACAAATATTTCAGACTCATCAAGGAAACCTTTTATATCGACTATCCCTTCATTCTCATCTTTGGAAAGATCATAATCTAATTTATTCCCAGAGTTAAGAATATAGTCTAAAATCATGCCTTCAGGAATATCCTCAGTTTTGGTTAATAAAGACTCATTGTCATCTTCAAGCCAGCTATCAGGACCAGGGTAGAAAACTGGTTCCAGGGTTGCTTCTTCCCAAGGCCAGATACTTGATTCCATCTCTTTTCCTGAACCATCAAAAGCTGAACCAGACCCATCATCATATATAACTCTATCTCCAAGAAATATATCAGTTTCGTCTTCCATAGGGGGCACTTCTAAGGGAAAAGGCATTTCTTCCACAGAGTCTGCACTGTCACTGCCCTCAGGACTACCTTGGATTACTTCTTCCTTCTCTTTAGTATCAGTCTCTATGACTGACGAAGAGGCCACTGTTGGTGCAGAGAGCAGAGGAACTGCAGAGTCCTCGGTAGATGGAGATTCTTCAGGCACAAGGTGAGAAGGACTTAAAGGCAAAAGTTCTTCAGATAGTCCAGTATCTTCAAACATTAAAAACAAAAACAAATTGGCAATTAGATGTTGTTTATGATAAAAAGTGTCAAATTTCATTCGTTTTATTATCTGTAGATATGTGTTCCACATTTTCCGTAATATATCCTGGCCTATGTATACCAAAGTCATAAGGACCCCTCTCCCACTTTCCATTCAGAAATTCTATAAACCTAGTAAAGACATACAAAATTATTTCTATGCTATTTAACAAGTATGTATCATTTCCAGAAGAGAGAAGCAGGTATTATTAGCTATTACAAGCATTTTGCTTTGGTAAATAGCTCTTGGATACATGCACACACAAAAGGTAAAAACTGAGAAAGATACTCAATTTTCAGACCTTTCTGAAAATTCATTTCAGTGAACTATAATCTGGTGAGTATCAGGAAATACTTGTATCCAAATTTAAGCTTCAGTCAATGGCATTAACTTACCATCTAAAGCACTGGGGGCTGAAAGCCATTCCAGAGAGTCCACAGAATCATGCTCTAACACCGGTACAGTGACTAAATGAGTAGTCTCTAAATTCTGCCCATCAGGCAAAGAAGTGACATCAACTTCTGAGGGAAGTGGAGCTTCAGGTGCCAAACCAGCCTCATAGTCAGCGTTCTGTGGCCTTGGCTGGATTTCATTGTCACTGGCCTGCTCACTGTCTGAGGTGGAATCTGCGTAGTCAAAGGGCAAGGCATTGCTGACGGTCGACTCATCTGCAGAAGGGCGCTCAGCTAGAAAGGTGCTGTCCTGGAACACAAAGCCTCTGTCAATATTTCCACTGCTGCGGGGGAAGCACTGATTGCCCACACTGGGCTGAGCACACTGAAGGGGTTAACAGCAGGCAGTGGCCAAGCCTCGGACCCTGCCTCTGAGGGAGCAATGCACAGCAGCAGGATGGTGGCAAACACAGACCCTGGCTAACCTCCTGCAATATACATTAACATGCACAGCCTCCCCACAAATGACAAATGTCATGTCCATGAACAAGGGAAAGGAGCATTCAGATTGTCTGGAGTGCAGAACCCCTTAGGCTATTAAGAAATTTACCATCTATATCCAACCCCATCTCCTTTCCTATGCTGAAAAAACGAATTTGTCCATCTCCAACTAAATCAAAGATAAATGTTATCTGCCTTCCTAAAGTATGATGAGGTTCTAACAGCTATTATTCATCAGCCACACAACTGATACATTAATTCTAATACTTCAGTTACTATGATACATGAAACAGTGTAGAAAGTGAACTTCAATGGATGCATGCCCAGTTGTAATTTATTGATATCTTTTAGTATATCTATAGTACCCAACAGAAAACAAAGACCAGAACCTAATGAAGAGCATTTATAACCTGGAATAATTTAGTCTCAAAGCCAAGATACCTGTGCAGAAAAAAAAAAAAAAAAAACCAAAAACTATCAGCAGTAATGATGAACAACAAAGTGCATGCAGAATGAATTTGTGAATTATCTGAAATGTGAAAAAATAATTTGTTGTTACATCTCCAATTTCCACACTTTTTACTTGTTATTCCACATCCCAATCATTAGCTGGTTTACATTTAAAGTAGTTAGCATATTTCATCTTTGAATATTAACCTCCTACTCGGTGTCTCATGAAATAATGATATTGGAAAAAGGTAATAAAGATATTAAGTTATTTGGTCAAGGCTATGAAAGCAAGCTTATAGCCTAAACCTCAAGACTTAGTGTTTTACATGGATTTACATGCCCACATATAAATTCTGTGCAGCAGATACGGACCAAAAACCCTGTAGGGGATGAAAAACTGCCAAGCAATTTCAAGAAGCAGCAATTTGCTAAGGGCTAACAAACTGCCAATGGTGACAAGTAAAGTTACAGTGGAAACAGGTTTCTGTAATACATATTACAGTTCAAAACCACTGCAATCATTTCTGTAGCTCACCATTCCTGTCAAATCTCTATTGCTTGACCAGCAGGAATAACAGGAAGAATCCAAATACTCTTCAATTTGAATTTTTTCTCCAACTTGAGACATGGGTGAATTGAATTTTCAGCTTAATTCAAACTGCATATGAATGCTTTGGAAACAGGCCAGTTAAGCGTTGGGTTTTTTGGGTTTTTTTTTGGTTTTGTTTCTTAAATTACTTGTTTGCATGCATTATCATATTCAAAAATGCCAATATTTATGCCAGCACAGTCTCATCAATTTTTTAAATTTATATAGTAAGAATCAGTTGAAAAGTACATATACCATACAAACATGCTCCATCAATTTTATTTTTGGCAAGACTAGCCACTATAAATAAAGCTGTAAAAAGAGTTACTGTACAAAATTAGAAATAAATTACACACATAAATTCCATAAAGAATTAATTAAGACTACCAGCAATTTTTCCTCAATACATTAACTTAATGTAAGCATTTAGTTGCCAGGAATTGCACCTCATATTCTTTTATATTAATATGGATAAATGGTCCTGTGGCAACTAACGTTATTCAAAGATCATTGTTACAGGGCAATATATTATACTAACAAGTTTAATATCATATTGGCTAGTTCTGGTTTTCACCAATGTAAAAGGCTCACCAATATGATAGATGGCTGTAAACACAGAACCCTTCTCCCTGATTTTCATTTTCTGCTGCCAGAAAGGCATTGTTTTCCTCAAGCCAGAGCATTCTACCTCTTACAACTCAACAAGAAAATGCAGATTTCAAAAACTAGACCTGATTTTTGTTTTACTTTTAAAGAGAGCTGCAAAACTCAAAAGAATTATTTGTACCATCTAGTAGCAATTGGATGATGAAATCATGATCGTCTCATGTTATGTCGTGATAGTGGTGTGCTAATACAAATCCAGTTTATTCTCAAATCACCTAGGGAAAACTACAGCAAAATTCTCTTCCATAGGTAGCAGTTCTGCTTGAACTACAAAGGTTTGACATCTGTGTAAATAATTGATCAATTGCATACTGTCTAATTATATTTAGAATTTTCTTATATTTGTCTGAAGCTATTTTGCAAATTACCTGTGTATTGCAGATTGTACACAGCCAGTTTGGGTATATACCTGATACCTTTTACATAATCAGAGTTTTTAACTGAAGGCATAGAAGCCTTTATTCATAGTCATGATTAGAAAAACACAACTTACACAATTTTTTGCCATAATATTCCTAAAAACTGGTTTAAAGTTTATTATCACAAAGCTACCACTACTCTAAAATATCTTCCTGCCTGCACATCTGTCAGAATACAGAATGGCAGAATTCTTTGTCTCACTAAAATAAACATCTACAACATTTTAGGCTAGTTCAATATCTCTAGTAAGATGTCTTCAGTAAAGAGAAAGCCCTTTTCTGAAAGCTCACGTAAATTCATGTTTATCTACACCATGTTTAATCCATTATGGCAAATCCATGTGAATTTTTATTTTAGACATCAATAAGTAGTTTTTAAGACTCAAGAAAAACTGTCATGAAATTAAGGACATTACACCTACGTTCATTCTAAGAATATTTGCATTCTGTGAAAACAAATTTTGCTCACCTAAAATTTTCAGAAGTTGGCTAAAATTAAATGTATGTGTTCTTAACATTATCTCATGATGGACTGAGAACCTACTAGCCAGCACAAGTGGATCTGGATTTTAGGGCATTATCTGAGTTCATTTCTTGTTGAAAGCACATCTGTGTTACAGAACAGAGTGGAGAGCAGAACCCAACTGCCCAGACAATGATTCAGCACTCAGAAGATCCCTCTGTTGGCAGAACTGCCTGACTTGATCTCAGCATTGCTGGCATCTACCTCAGTATCTTTGCTTAAATCACTTTGTACAGACATGGTGAGGGACATCAAGTCTCTTATCCAATACAGAACTCTAGTCTGTGTCTTGGATTATTCCAGAAGGAGTCAGAGAAGACAATTACAATTTCAAGGGACAAAAAAAAGAACCAGTGCCAGTAATTTTCCTCTGCTGGGATTAGGAGAATGGCATCATTTTAAAACCAAATTAAGAACTTTCTTTGAAATAAATACAGTAACAAAAGGAGATTATGAAACTTAGTGTTTTATCTGTTCTAGCAGCCAGCTGTAGGATTTACATCTATTTCTTCTTTCCAAAGAAAAGTAGTATCATGAAGGAAGGATCACCTCTTTAGAGATGTTTACAATCAAAATAAGATGATCGCAGAAAACTGTAGGGCAGCAAACACTACAATTGTCACACAAGAGATTTCACCAGTTGTTACTCCAATCTAAGGTGCACCTTCATTACTGCATGGACAAAAGGACAGAGAGGCTCTGAGTGTTGGCTGCAGTTCTACCTTGCTGAACTAAGTTGTTCACATGTCCAAAGGCCACTGCTCAGAACCGTACTCACATCCAGCTCCGGGCGCTCCAGCACGACGGGATGCTCAGGAACCCAGGAGGGGTCTTCTGACGTGGGGTGCAGTATTTCCTTCACTGTGGAAACAGAAACACTTGGATCTAAAGGCTGCAGTAACACTGTCAGGAAGTTGTGTTGGGAGACTGACTGAAGAACCCTCTCTGATTTCAGATTTGTCAGTAAAATCTTCTCAAAAAGTTTGCCAGAGAGATTTTGTTTCTAGAAATGCATCCAAATCACTGACAGGAAGTGAAGGGGAAAGATAAGAACAAAGGGGTGACAGCACTCTTTGAGCACCTCTAGCAGTATCACTGAATATTCAGCAATTATCTGGGTATTCCCTTTGTGCTGCCTGAGGCCAACACAGAGCTGCTAAGCTGAAGGTCACCCTGATACAATGTGCACCATGTGAACCACATTTCCCCTTTTTATTCCTCTTAACTTTTGAAAATATTACTGAAATCACACACTAAAAACCTCAGTTTCAAAATAAAAATTAAAATAAAATGGGGGGCTAGGCTAATGGATCAATAATAGGATGCTACTGCTCATGACCTGGGCTGGTTAAGATCAGAGCAAAACAGGCTATAACATACTTGATTTTGTTCTGTTCAATTTTTCAGAGGACAGCTGAATAATTCACTCATCTGAGACATGATAATCAATACCCACCATTAGTAAGCTGAAGAGAGTTTGGGTCTAAAGAGATGGAAGCATTTTCAAGCAGAGCACTTTTCTGGAGGATCTCAGCAATATAATCTCGGAAATCACTGATGGTGTACACAACTGTTGGATTATCCTCTATGCCCATGAAGGAGTTGTCCTCCACCTTGTTTGAATGAAGGTTAATCAGGTCCCAGGTGGCATTGCTGATGGCTTTTCCATCAAATGTGACAGCATAGTGAACTTCCACCCCACTTCAGTCGTACACAGAGAAAGAATACAGATGAGAAATTTCAGGTTTTCCTAAGCAAGCAAACACTATACTTTTTCACAAGGGCCCACATCAATACCCTTTGTAATATAAAAACACACGTCTTTAAAAGATGAATACAAAGTACCTGATTCTTTTCACTAAGTGCTCAAGGGATATGCTACCCAAAACTGACATCTGGTCTGGTCCCAGTCCCATATTTCTACTAGTGAATGGCAGACAGACCATAAGCTGACCAAAACACTGACTTTCTGCAAGTATTATTAATGGGTCCACCAGCATGCAGTGGTGAGAGTGGTGATTTTAAGATTATACCAATAATAGGAACGGCTCTGAGGTATGAAAATAGACAGGAAAAACATGTTGTACGTAGTAGCAATCTATAGTAGCAAGTGAGAGCCCCAATCTCTGTCACTGTGCAGTGTTAAATTGCTTGAAAGAATGTTTTTAATAGAAATAAAATAGTATTTAATTCACCAAATTGGGAAAATTTATCTAGACTCGTTTGATTATTTATTCTATAACTCAGTTTTGTATCTGTGTACAGTTTAAGGGTTTTTTTTTTTTATTAACTCTCCTCCATTTTCTTAATTTTCTTTTCCTTAATACATCTGGATGTCCTTTTCCACACGACAGATTAGGCTGCAATCAGATTTACCATACACTAGGCAAAAGCACAAGGGAGCTTTACAAGATGCAACACATTTTGGCTGTAGACAGAACACAGCAAGAAAATTAAATCACCTCTGAAGCATTAGAAACATGTGCTCTGAATACAGGTTTTCCTGATTCCACAGAGCTGGATTTGATTTCTAAAACAATGTCTCTGTTTAGAGAAGTCTTTAAAACCCCAGTTCCAGATACAACAGAGAAAATTCACAGGCACTGATGAAACCCAGGAGCCTGGGTTTTGCTGCTGGCTCTATCACTGCCATGAACCCACCACGGGCTCTCCATGGACACTGACAGTCAGCAGAGGAGATTAAAAAGGACAGCAGTAGTGAAAAGGCACAGGAAAAATGGAACAGAATATGCTCCTCATACATAACATTTAGGTTTAAGACAACTGTGCTGTCACTCATAATTCCTAACAAATAACTGCACCACCATCCTCTTTCTGGAAAGGGCTGAACATCTGGTGCCTGAAACATGGCCCTTGTGAACAGTTGCATGCATACAATTTGTGAAGAGATTTGTGTTTCTAACCTTTCCTGAAAATGCTCATTCTCTTTAAACTTGTTCATGGAAACTGGCTATGTTGAACAAATTAATAAATTTAGTAAATTAAGACTGCAGTTCTTTTTCTGTCTTATGACATTCTTAACATACTGACCTGTGTTTAGGGTGATTTTTCCTGAGGGTTTTCCCTTTTATTATGACTTAAATAAGCAAATTAGGTTATCCTTAATTGAAAAAGATCAGTTACTTGCAGTTTCTGGTAGAACCCTCTCCCAATATTTATGTTAGATAACTATCTTGCTCTGAACACAAAAATACAATTCCCCCCCCAAAAATGCGCTCCAGCAAAACATGTTTTTCCCATCTGTATTATGACATTATCTATTAGAAAGTTGTCTTTACCTGTCTTCCTCAGAAGGGCTGATTATAAAAACAAAACAGAAGAACAAAACCTATTATATCAATGTCATAACTTCCTTTATGTCTTAAAACTTTAACAAGTTTGCTTTGGTATTCTACAGGGCATAACCATTTGAAAATGCATACAGGAAAATCTTTTTAAGTTGCATAATTGTTCACAGTTATTCAGCTACATAACAAATTGTTCTGCTTTTAGTGAACTGAAATACTTTCTATTGATCCCAAGGAATGAGCAGAGGAGAGCCATCTCAGGTTATTGTGAATAATGCAGGTAAATTGCTGTCAGTACCAAGAAGATCAAGGCTCACTTATTCCACCTAAAGGTTTAACTTACAAGCAATGGATTTTTGTCATGCACAGCAGAGAACAGACTGCCAGAAATATCAGCATTTTATTTGTCTTCTCAAATTAACCAAGTGCTTGCAGACCTACTAGGCTGAAAATGCCAAGGTGGAAGGTTTTGCTGCCTTCCAGTCTGAAAACTGGATGCAGCCTAGGGTTCCAACAACAAGACCTCTCACTACAGCTGCTTTGTTACCTACATGTATGCTAGTTAAAATACTCCAGGCAATGAATTCTATTCTAAGAAATACAGCTTACAGTTTCATATAAAACACAATTTAGATTAACTCATGAAAATTAGAACTCATTAGATTCTAAAAGGTATATCCAATCCATTCAAGAAAAATCACAATTTGTGAGCCCTGTACTTCAAAAGTCAGACATTTTACATTTGATGGATTAACTTAAATTCACTTTTTTCTCTGAAGCACAAATGGATTTGAGGGAATCAGGTATATTTCTATACCTGGAAAATATATTTCTAGAAATACAGAGAGTTAAAATATTCCATATCATTTATCAAACTATCCCACACCTTTTTTTTGATCCAGGAGAGAGAGACCTTTACATATCCTAAACACTAACCTTTAGAGCCATCCCAAATTAACATCAAGAATCTGAAAAAGAAATCTAAATACATCACATTTTTCCAAAAGGATTTCTGTGATCTTCCTTGTTTAATACTTGGACATATTAGAAGTAGCAGGCACGAATATAACTTTTAATTTTAGGATAGAACAATAATGCCTTGTCTTAAAATCACAGCAAACATTTCATGTGAAAAATGCCAGGAGGAAAAAAAATCAGTTCTGTATTTCTATTTCAGTTGCATATATAGAGGTACCAAATATGAGAGCACTTGGTTAATACATCCTGGGAGTTCCCCCACACACGCCTGACATCCTGCTAAGCTCATTGCATCGTCATACATGATCATGCTCAATCACCATACATGCATCAGGATCTTTTACCTGTAATCCAGGATATGGATGTTTTTGTATCCAGGTAGTCCTTCAAATACACTTTTAATCTATTTTGATAGAAAAACAAAAAAATTAGCACAGATTCCGTTTGCTTCTGCTCATGTGTTGAGAAATCAGGAAGTGTTTCTAGCGTTTCCTAAAAATGTTTCTGAGCTGTTATATAGAATAGGTGAACAACAGTTAAATATTCTTTCCTTTATGGAAGAGTAGTTTTGGTGACATTGTTTCATTATTAGAAAAAGGGGAAATAAAAAGTATGAAGAACAACATCCAGTACTCCCCAAGAAGTGTATAGAAATATTCCAAGGGAAGAAATGGAAAGAGACTGACAAGATAATAAACTGTGCTACAGGAGACAAAACCAAGATAGAGAATACTGAAAGTTCATGCTGGTTTAGAAAGTTTTTTAGCTTCCGAAGATCCTTGCCAGTTGAGGATTATTTTTTACTCTGTAAATTCTTGTTCCCTTCCCCCATCTCCTTATTTTTAAACTGTCTCTGGTGAGACTTAAACAATCACAGTGACTTTTTTTTCTGAGGGCTTCTTTATTCAAACTCAGAGAAAACCAGGCAAGGGATCAAAGGAGTGGAGTATCCATGTGCCAGGTGGACTCTGTCCCATGTGACATTTTTTACACACACACACATACCATGGCATTGCTACTTGGACTCACAAAGGAAAACTGAGATGTCAGCCTACGCCAGCAACTTGTGAAAGCCATGGTGATGGTTTTTGGCTGCAGTGAAGAGTACATCCCTCTCCCATTTGGCCCAGGATCTGGCACAGGGTTAGCCCAGTAAAAAGAATTCAGAGAATCAACCCCAACTAAATGGGGCTGAGAAGGAGGCAAAGCTAGAGAAAAGATAAGCCTCACGTTATGACAACTTAGATGCCTCTCCAAGGAGAAAAGAAAGACACACACCCAGCTCCCAAAATATGATGGCAATATAATTACCATCATTATAGACAAAATAAAAAACAAATATTGGAACCCATAGGTACACAAAAATCATCAGCCCTGACACAGAGGCTTTTTGCTGCTCTGGCTTTGCAGAGCCAGAAAAAGGAAAAATGAGTTTAGGGAAGGGAATCACCTGAGAAATGAATCGTTCAGACAGCAGTTGGTACTCAGCAGCAGATGGGTCCTTCAGCTCCTCGCTGTACTGTTCACCAACAATCAAAATGTTGAACTCAATCATCTGCTCAGCTACAGGCCTGACCAGCTTTTCATCCTGCTTCTTGATCTCGTTATTGATCTGGAAGGGAAGGAAGAAGGGAGAGCAGATAACACGTGGATGCTGCAGTGCAGAGCACAGCCACCAGCACACCCATTTGCCCTTAACTGCAGTGGGATGCTCAGGAAGCCCCAGGGACAGAGGCAGTGACTAACGAGGCAGTCTAGTAAGCAAAAACATTTTCTGAGAATTCTCATATTTTCCATTTGGACACCTTCAGTGTAAGCCCATCTCACTGACCTCAGGCACCAAGTGAGGTACAGATGTACGTAAAGGTGTGTGGGCTGTTCACGAGGCAGTTCAAAGTGCAACCATGGCTACTCAAACATCTCACCTGAGCCCAGTCAGTGTAGGCTGATTTACCCAAAATTTACTCATTTATCACAAGGCTCCTAGTCACTATTCCATCTGGGAGACAAGCTGCCTTTGCCAAGTTGTGCATTGTTCAGCCCCAGGAGGTGAAGGATCCCCTCAGATACACAGTGGGCACTGGGAATGGGAGCTCTGCTGAGCTGAAGCAGCCTCCAGCTGCTGTTCTACAGCTGCCCAAAAAGCCCCGGGGCAGTGGCTGTGCAGTGCATCAGGGATGCATGCACTATCGTGGCTGCCACAGGCAGCAGTGAATGCCAAGTTTTAATCTAATTTGAATGACTGGGCATGCTTTCTGCTTACTTCCCTAGTATTTTTAAAATAGCATACTATTTCTTGTGGTGTACTGAATTCATCAGAAAAATAATTAAAAAAAAGATATTTGTCTAGGAGGGAAGAGAAGGCTGGCTTGTTAATTTTAGCCAAATGTCTTTTGCTAGATGTTTTGTATTTGACTATTTACATACATATTTATTGCTTTCTTCATATTAAAAAGGAAAAATAGAGTCAGTAAAACAGATCTTTTCAATGAAGCTGCAGTTTAAGTTATGCATCATGCAGGAAATGGAAAAAAACTTTCTTCAGAAAGTTTATCTGCCATCAGTGAGCAATTCCTACATTGTTTAAGAACCCTCTAAAAATTTTTAGTTAAATTCTCTTTCCAGCCCTCACATTCCTTTTTCACTGGATAACTCTGTCCAAAGACCATAAGGACTGGTACAGTACTTAAAGTTAGTTAGCATTTGGATCTACCCAGGAAAATGTCTTAAAACTTTAGAAATTCACACCCTGATTTTATTATTACCATGATGATTTTTTTGCCTTTTTTTAAATATACCTCTTAGGTATTCCCAGTACCCTTAGCATGCATACTTATAATTCCTTAAGTCTGATACCTTAGCATAGTCCTGGTATTCTGTTAGGCCAGGAGACCAAACACCCAGAGGCCTCACAGTTGGTGCATCATAGAAATCCTTATTAAATACTGAGGTAAAACCCCTTTATCCCTTAACCTTGTCTGGCTCTTAATTTTAGGACCAAGAAAAAGGCATAACTATGAAAACCTAGTTTGTGTTAACACACCATATTAACAACACTTTTAATTGCTATTAAAATGTAAACGACCATAAACAATATCATGTAGGGAAAGCAACAGAATGTTGAACCAATGAAAAAACCCACTCACAGTGGTGTCCACATTGTCATGCTCATGGATGGCATCACCTGCAGGACTCTCAACAGAGACCTCGTGAGGGGGAGGAACATTGGCCGCTGCATCTGAGTTTGAAAGAGAGCAGTATTATTTTGTTTGGTTTGTTTGTTGTTGGTTTTTTGCTATATACCCACAGAAGCAGCTCAGCAAGCATAAACCAATAGTCAAATTTGATTCCTACTCCCATTATCTTGACAGCAAAAGCACAGGAGACACATGAAGAGCCTGAGCAAAAGTATCAAATACACTAATCACTATAAGATGCTAACATTCTGCCTAAGCAGAGGTATTTTTGGAAACATGAGTAAAACCAGCACATTTCTTGAGCAGGATTTTCATGATTCATTAAATAATGAAATGTCAGCACATAACATGATCTCCAGGTTACAAATGGCATGAGAGAGGTGTAAATGTCTCAATTTTCTGGTAATTCAGAATCAACCTTGGCAGCAGTTAGATAAAAACTGACCTCTCAGTGTGGTAACATCAGCATCCAAAGGTGGAGTAGGAGTCCCACTAGATAAAAAACAAATCAGAAACTGAAGCTGGGTATGGTAAGATAAATGTAGTAGTTCTTGATATTTCTGTGATTCTGATAGTACACCAAAAAGCACATGTGCAGAAGAAATTTTTCATGTTACTATTTTGCTCATAACTTCATAAAAATTAGGCTTAGCAGTATTTCAGTTATATTTTTCAACTTAGATTTGGGGTCACTTGCATCATACAACACATCATGCGCGTCTCTGGGTTGCTAAGCCTCTTATATCCCAAATGACCTGGAGTCTCATATAAAAATACATTTTGCCTTCTAGCAGTTCTGTAAAGAAAGCAAATGCAAAGAGATAAAACACAAAGATAACTGGTTATACCAAATAAACCACTCAGTTTTTAAAACATTCCCCAGTGTGCTCAAACACTGTAACTCCACTCAAATCACTGCAAGAAGATGGGTTTTTTCATAATTAATTTTACTCTGCTTATTTGGAAATCTTCAAAACACATCAGTTTCCAAACCCAATACTGGCATGCACACACACATATAAAATGACTCTGGGCCAAATGTGAAAAACATTTCAGAAGAACAATCACATGAGGACTGTCAGCCTGAAGGAAAACTAAGAGCTTTGACACAACTTACAGCAAACCCAAGCTGCTTGGAGCCAATTCTGTAAGCCTGGAGCAACTGTCAAGTTACCCAGAGTGGGAGACATGCTCTGACAGAAACAAGTCTTTCCTGAATGAAGGGAAAATCATTCTTTGAGTTTGTCATATTGTTAATATATACAGCACAAGCGGTAAGACTGCAAGTTTAACTGCTGGGGAGAAACTGAACATTACTGAAGTTCATTATATTGAGATATTTCTCTCACTTCTAAAGGATCACCTTGTTTATTGGTGATCATACCTGTGCCATGAAACATGCATTGCAGCAAGTCTTCACTCTGATATACACAACACCATCCACGGCTCCTGGCCTTGCCAGGTTTGTTTGATGCTTCACATGTTCTACAACTGGCCTTGCAATCCAGCCTGTCCCCAAGCAAAACTCCACGCCAAGTTGATATCTTGCCTCCTTCAGGCTGTACAGTCAGTCTTTGTATTACCCCAAAAAAGGCTTCCAGCACCAGCCAGACTGACAGTTCCATTCCACAGCCAGCAGAGCAGCAGCATATGTGCAGAGACCACAGGGTCCCTGAGTTCATGTCTGAAACACTTTCTGCCCCTCACAGACACATTAGGCTGATGTGCCAATAAACAGACCTGAAGGCAAACCTGATGAACTTTCTATTTAAGTCAAAATCTTTTCACCCATCGTTTCCCAGGAGGCACAGTCAATCCTCCACAAAATAATTAACTATACCAAAACATAGTTCAGGGAATGTTAAACTGACAGGGTGAGATCTCCACAACAATTCTAAAAAATTAACAAAATATAAAAACTTTCACAGGAACAAATCAGAAAATACTTATTCAAGAGTTTAAACAGTATCTTTGTGTATTTTCTTGTACAATAAAATCAATTTTAAGTGTAGTTCTGCCTGCTTCCATCTCATGGACACTGGTACCTGTTTTCAGCCAGCACAGTGCAAGACTGCTTTTGAGTTTGCCAAATCTTTGACAAGCTCAGTAAATCATTTTACTAAAAAGTGTAATTTAGACAAGATAGCCTCTCTTAAGGGTATTTTCTAGAGAATGCTGGTTATGTTTTGGAGGGATTTAGTTTATTTACTCATTTGTCATCTTAGAACTGCAATAAAAACTATTTCTTAATTATTAATTGGTCTGATGAAACATTTTCCAATTAAGTTCACCTAACTTCAAGATGCCTCTTTTTCCAGTTTCAATAGGAAGTATATTACATCTATAACAGAGTGTCACCAAATGACAGCATCAGACCATTTTAGTGCATCATGTTTAAAGTTCAGAAGCAGGAATGACTCTACTTTTCAGTAAAGGTGAACCAGTTTGGGATTTTATTTCTTACAAACTATTCAGTGTAACTAGGGTCAGAATAAAACTCAACAAAAGCAAAGTGATTAATAGTAAAAGCTCTGCCACAGGATTTTTAATGTTCTGTTCTGTTCAAACCTATAACTAGCCATTAGCTGAGTCTTGTATCCACCCCCTTTGCTAAAGAAGAGGACAACAGGATACGTGATTTGCTGTGGGAAGCCCTGATCCCATCCTGGGGCTCATGGGACTGGATCCAGGTGGCCCAGATTGGTGCCCAGCATCCTCTGGGGGCCTCCAGGCACTCCTGACCTCCAGCTCCTGCCCCACAGGTCACCCCTGCATCCCACCTTGTCCCTGCCAGCCTTGTGCACACTTGTGCTGCAACTAAGGCCACCTCAAAAGGATCAAAATTACTATTTGACCAACTGAGCACCCAGTTCTGGGGTGGGTTAGGCTTGGCCAAGGGCCACACACCCACCCAGCCACTCCCTCACTGCCTTCATCTCCGTAAGACAGGGAGAAAATATGATGAAAAGTTTCTTGGTTGAAATAAAGCCAGGAAGATCACTCACTAATTGCCTCCATGGGAAAATCAGACTCAGCTTAGGGAAAACTAATTTATTGCATGTTTGAGTAAATCTGGGTAATGAGGAGCAGACTAATATTAAAACACCACTTCTTCTTCACCCTTTCCCAGGCTCAGCTTCGCTCTGGGCTCCTGTACCCAGTGCACGCTCTGCAGGGGCAGCAGCTCCTCCAGGAAAGCTCTGAGTCCTCCCTCAGCTGCAGGGAACACATGATCTGCCATGGTGTGGTGCCTTTAGCCTTGGCATTCCCCACACCACTGTTTCTCAGGCTTTTTGCTCCCTCCTCCTCTCCCTGTACCAAGTTTCTGCCCTCAGGCTTTCCCTGAGCTGCCACTGCCACCAGGGTAGGGCTCAGCCCTGCCTGTCAGAGCCACCTGGGGCAGCCTCGGGGCAGCCCAGACCCACCCAGACAGGAGCCCCTGAACTAAGTTGCTTGAGTTTTTAAAGGAAAAACCCCCAAAGTACACAAGGAGCCCCACACAAAATGCTGTGGCATAAATCACACTTTTAAAATAGGAGCTGTTTACAAATGGAAAGTCCTAATATATTTCTCAATTACTGGTCATAGGCACATCAAAGTGAATTCTCCAAGTTTAAAAAGTCCAAGAGGACTTTCTCTGCCACTGACCCCAACAAATGGCAGCTCTCCAACAGGGTACTTCTGTCACAAGCATCACCTTAGGCACTGCTTTAGCCATGGTGACAACCACAGCCCAAGATTGTTAACAAACCCAGCTCCTTAAGAAACAACAGAGCACACTCTTTGTCAAGGCCAGGTACTTCTTCCTGGCACTGAGGGGCTTTTAAATACAAGCCCTCAGGAGCTAACAAATTTTCTGACAGAATGCCAGTGCACAGCTGGCTGAAAATTAAAAACCAAGCAGTTGAACATCACCTACTAAACCTCTAATAAATTTAACCAAACCAGTCAAACACCAAATTTGGTCAAATGATCAGCTACAACTTTTTCCAAGAGAATGAAAATACGGTTTTAAGGACACTATGCTGTAACCAGACTCACTTTTTGCACAACATTGATTTTTCATTACTTTACTAGAAAGATGAGGTTTGCCTTCTTTTTGCCTTCTACTTCCCCTTAACATTTTCCAAATGCCTACTTTATTGATCACCTAAAAACTCATCAATTGTACAGGGCATCTCTGAGGAAGTCACTCAAAATGCACATGGCAATGCAAATACTGAAATGCCTGAACACGTCACTTTTCAAGGTAAACACAGATTCAAATTTGCACTCATTTGCACCACTTAAAACACACAAGATTTTTTATGGTTTTGCCCCAGGAGTAATCCAGGGCCCACACTTGATTTTTAATTCTACCTACACAAGCAAGCCACTCCAGGTAGAAGGACTGTATTCCAACAAGAGTTTATTGTGAATTTGACACAGACGTAGGAAATGCAATTTCATACCTGCATGAGTGATTCCCTGGATCGTCTTGGCTGAGCAGTAAGCAAAATACAAAAACATACACGTATGTATGGGGAGCAGGAAGGAGCACGCACAGGCAGATGTCTAAGCAGCAGAACAAACACACATTGCGTTTCCTCGGCAGAAACACGCGGGTTCAGGTCACACAGCTCTGTCAGACACCAGGATCCAGGCAAGACAAGATCCATAAGGGCCAAGGAAGCTGATCTGGAGCAAACAGCGCTTACAGACAGCCTATACATATGGGTACAGCAATCCCAGCTCACAAACACAGCTACAGCCCCCTTCTCGTGCGACATCAGGAGAAGACATGACACATTCCAACCCACCAAAGCAGAAACAGCTCCACTGACCCACAGGCCAACACTGGCTCCTTGTGTGCAGCCATACTGGGGGGCTGAGGAGAAACAACACCGGGCCTGTCAAAGGGGCCATCACTGACACCATTTCACAGCTCCCCATCAAGTTCCAGGAAGGCATTCCTTAGATCTTTCTCTACATTTCTCCTCAACGTTTAAGACAAACCCAACTCTGTAGTTGAAGAAAGTAACATCTTCAGATTTGTAGTACATGTTCTGGACATCCACCAAGTTATCCATTATTTATAAGATGGTTGGTCAATTTGAATGTTCTAAAGTCTAACTGGCTATGTCAAGATATTCCTTTTTCTTGAACAATATTACTTCAATTATCATATTGCACAAAGGGGAGAAAAATTTATTGTCGGATTTTCTCATTTTTAAATATTTCAATTACACGACTTTGAACTGACTAGCAAGCAGCTTCAGTATTTTTACACTTAAATGCAAGACAAAGGCTTGTATTCAGATTCTCTTAAAATTCACATGTATTTATCTTAATTTTCATTTAGGTAGTTCTTGAATTTTAATATCTCTTGGTTCTAATTAAAACAGGACAAACCTTTCATATTTCCTACCAGACAGTAGGGAGCACAAAAGAAAATAGAGAACTGAAAAGGAACAGTGTGGAACTCTTCACATGTGGTAAAGCTGTGCAAGATGATAAAAAAATGTCAGAAATGAGGAATATCACTGCCAAGTGCACATGCAAGCAGTAAAGAAACTCAGGTATGTTTCTATGTCCCTGCAGGCAGAACTGCTGAACTGATGAATTTATCCCAGCATGGAAGACAAACACTCACTCTTTCATGAAGCACATTTAGATAAATAGTACAAAAGCCAATTTGATACATCATCATCCATTGCTACCACTGCTGATAAAATATGGATTTCAGATTTGCCAAGGCAGAGAACATGGACAGAACACAGGAGGTCTGGACAAGATTTACTGCAACTAATTTCAGTGAGGTTAGAATCAGCAAGTACCACCAGAAAGGACATGTACCTCTACGTATTTCATTTTACATTAAAAAATGCTCCTGAAGAAGTGAACAAGTAGTGTGTTATATTCCTCCTTTTCAACTGTCCTGTCCTCTTTATCTTTTCCTCAGTAGCTGCTGTGCATACAGCACTCCAGCAAGGCTGTGACATAAAAGCTCTTGTTTTCTGCTGCAACAGTTCTGTGCTACTTCTTTGCTTGCAGCTGTTTCTCAAGATCTGGCTTTTGATCCCCCAGGAATTAGACAGAAGAACTGTCCTATTGTCAAGAGATAGACTCCAATATTGAGACAGATTTCATTGTGCGAAATGCCAGTGGCCTAGTGAATAAAGCACTAAAATCTTCAGCTGATGTAGTGCTCTGACACTTCCAGCTGGGGCAAAAACTCTACAATGTCCACTGTGCTGCTCTGCACACGTGTGGATTGTGTCCCATATATTGCTTTTCCTTTTGAGGCTTTCTCCTTGGTGGTACTTAGCTTAATCCTCAGTTCCTGAAAAGACAGGGTAGTGAACACTCAGCCTAGGTGAATGCAGGTTTTAAACCTTACAGGAACAAACTTCCACCTGCTGCACGCCGCTGTCAGTAATGCTGGATTGGAGCTGTTCCAGGAACTAAACACCAGAGCACACGGCACCTTTCTGTGGGCTACATTCAAACTACCCCAGCATTTAACCAGATGAAGTCACCTTTTTCCAGCTAGAGACACCACAGTGACATCTATGTAGGATTATATGAGTTGTGTCAATCTACTCAAGCCACAGCTTATGAAATCACTATGAGGACACCTAATTTGAGAACCTGGGGTTTTTTTCTAAGAAGTCTGTAAAATAATTACTCTTCCTGGTACTTTAGTTACTCATATTTAGCATAGCTTTATGTGGCCTGTAAAGCAGAGAGTTGACCCTGCCAGTTTTTCAGAGGAGCTCAGCACCAGATTGTTTAGGCTTGAATTACCCTAAAAATAACAGCTCACATTAAGTTCTGAGGAGCAATATAGCAATAATAATTTGAACTTGTTTTCAGTTCAATAAAAGACATGAAAACAACAGGTCATGTTCAGGTTTGCTTTGCTACAAAGATGCCACAAATTAATTTTCTGTTTTATTGCCCGTTTAAAAGTGTGAGGAGCCCAAACAGCCAGTTCCCTTGTAAATGTTGATAGAACACATCACTTGAAAGTCTTTCAAAATAGCATTTCAAAGTATTCCTTTTTGGTTTTGTAATGATGACCAGGACTACCTGAAAGCCCTTGGGAAAGATTTCCAAGACAAGCAGAACACTGACACGAGTGACTATGGACACCTCTTTCCCAGAATAGATTTCCCCCACTAAAGCTCTCCAGGTATTGCCTGTGTCTGTGCCTGGCAGCCAGCAAGGTGATGACACACTTAAGCACAAGTACAAGCCTCAGAGTGGCTGAGCTGTTTTGAACATGCCAACCACACCAGGACAGAGGTTCACATGCAAGAACCACCAGATTTCTCCACCACACTTTTCTATATGTCCTTTTGCACAAAGGTGAATTTTGTTCATCCCCAGTGCACCAATCGGTGCCAGCAGCTGCAAGAACCAGACAAATGACCATTAGCATTTAGAAAAGGAGAATTACTTACCCACACGACCAGTCAGCACAGGAACTGACAAGAAAAAGAGAGAAAAGGTTACAAAATGTCACAGCTCAGCCCTCTTGTTATCTCCAGAGACAATAAAATACAAGGACAGCACAGATACTCACCTGCCCATTGCTTCCTTGGTGTAGGCCAGTTTCTGGAAAACAAAAACAAATCCTAAATATATTTGAGTAATATAAATTGAAATAAATTGAAGTGCAGTTTATACCACTTTATTTCCTTCTGCATGCTGAAATAATTTTTTCTCTGTACTGTCATTCGTTAAGTTCAAAATTTATTAACAAAGTCCCAGCTGAAAAGAAAATATGTCTGACATATCCAAAATACAACTGAAACTCGACATCAGTAGTGTAAAGAGCATTAGGTTTTTCAGAGGTGCTCTACATGTCCTAAAGTGTTCTGGAGGTACAACATTCTCCCACATTAGAGGACGCCAACAATAAGAACCTCTTAAGCAAGCAGTCTTCAGAAATTCTGTATTACTTCTGCTAATTGTCTGCAGATTGAAAACCATCTTTTGAAAGTAAAGCCACAGCTTAAAGTACCACGAGCAAGATTGATCTGATGATTTTGCTCACAGTTATACAAGTGGCAGGAATGATTTTTTTTTTCCTGTAGTGGTGTAGGCTACACAGTTTGTATTTTTTTCATCAAAATTCTCAAAGTATTAGTGCCATTAGTTCTAGAGGTGAGTCAGAGATGCTTCTGTGAGGAACACCACAAGAAGTGAAGGAGGTCCTGAGAAATAATGGGATCTGTTGAGAAATAATGCTGTATCCTGCTGCTGTACCAATGTAAAGAGAATATCAAATACTTACAGATACTTAATCCACAAAATTCCTACTTCTCTGCTTTAGAGGGTCAAAAAAGGATTGTTTGGTGGATTGCTTATTGGGCAGTTTAATTTGCTTTCCAGCCTGGGGTGGGGCAAGCAATGACATATTTGAACTCCATGGCAAACATCACCTTTTCCCCCTAATTAGAAGCCAAGAACTCTAGAGTTCTAATTTTGGCTTGTTTAATCATTTAGGACAGAATAGCCTTTGCCAAAACACCTCACTTCTCTGATTCAGTTCCTTCATTAAGACAGAGTTGGAAATTTACCTATTGCACACAGACTGCAAAGACCATTTAATGTTTGCACTTTCAATACTTGAAGAGATCTATAAATAATCCTCCACAACAGCAGCAGCCACCCCAAAGCTGAGGGGAGCTTTTACTCACTGAAGAGCTCTGGCAAGTGCTTTGTACAAAATGAGTTCTTTGTGCAAAATGAGACCTTCCTGACATTATTATACCAATTCTCCTGATGCTGGGAGCTGAGTTTTGTGTCCGTTGCTTTAGTGCTCACCTTTCTAAACAGTTATTTTATGTAACTAAAAGTTATCATTAATTAATACCAGAACGTTAAACACAGGCTACAACAACACAGCAAATCACATGTAGTACCAACCAGATGAGCTTCTGTCAACTCAGGATGCTGCAGAAAAGCAATTATATACAATATTCTTGCCTGATCCTAAGAGACTATCCTTATTCACAGAAGACAAAATATCCTGAGGGTAATCCCAGGCACGAGAAAAAGGCAAAGGAAATGTCAAGGAGATCTGAAATAATCCCATATTAGTTAATCCCATCTGTGTAGTATTATACAAAGCATATTTGATTTAATCCACCTATACACCTCATTTACAACAGGAAAGTCATACCAGGAAATGATTCTCCACCTGCCAGTGCCCATTTCCCACCACGGGGCATGGCAGAGCCACGCTGTCGTGAAGGCAAGGCTGCAGCACTGGGGATGATTCAAGGAAAGGGAGGAAATGTCCAGAACTGAAGCTGTAAATTCTCCTGCAAACAGCAGAAGTTGTGCTGCACACGAGAGCTCTCCAAGAGCTGCTGCAGGTGCTCATTGCAGTGGGACATGATCCCTTGCCCATGAGAGCTCCCAGGAGCTGCTGCACCCACCTTCAGGATCAGGCTCCGGTGCTCCTCGGACTGGCTGAAGTTGGTGCCCATTTGGAAGATGCTCATGGTGCCCTCCTCGCACAGCCCCAGCCAGCTGTTGTACTCCTCACGCTCCGGCAGCCTGTCCCAGAATGTCTTGAAGACCTCCCAGACTGTTTCCTGGCACACTGAAGGCACGAGAAAGGTCTGGTGTTAGTACAACAGGGGTGTTTCTGTGGCACAAGCAGCCAGGCTATTACTGTCCCAGTGCTGTAAGCTTGGCAGGACATTTGATACAGAAAACAGCAACCTGACATCTCCGTGGAATTGAGAATAGCATTGAAGCAACTGCCATGAAGATATGGTGGATCATCCACACTCATATTACCTCTCTCCCTGAACAACAGTATTTCCACTGAGCAAAACTGCCATTTGATCAACGAATTAAATTTTTAGAAAACCTAGAAAACCAAAATACCATGGCAAGTGCCCTCATAGGAAGTAGATGTGGAGCTTAAGTTGTAAGAAAGATGGTGGCACTGATCAAAGTCTAGTAAGCTCAGTCAGTAACAATTCCTTCAGATTCACCTTCACACAAAATTTAAAACACATTTCAGAAATTACAACGGCATTCATAATTCAAAGAACAAGGCAGGATGACGACAAAAGAATATGCTACTAAATAAGTCAAGCTCTAACTGTGCTCTGCATGCTCACTGAGAAAGAACTGGACAGTCAGCCTGAGAATTAAGGTTTAATGTCATATACTACACTGCCTACTTTAATCTCCCAGCCTTGCAGATGCTCTTTTTTCCAGCCACATGATGCTCAAGCAAGAACAACTCAGTGACCCAGGATAACTCAAAGAGAGGAAGATTTATAGGATTTTTGTTGTGTCCTGGAAAAGGGCAACATGAAAAGGTGAACTCTCAAAATCATTTGTACCAAATGCCATCCTGGAGGAGTAGCAGACAAACCTGCTTTTTTGCCTTAATCTGATTTCACTTATTAGACAGTTCAGCAGAGAAATGCTTTGCATTCCGGGAAAGTCCTGACACCACAAGCCAGCCCTTACAGGAGACTAAATCTATCTCCAGAAATCCATTGTCTACAATCAGCTTTAAAATTAGCTCTGGGCTGCCAAACCCAGTACCTTGCTGTTATTTCTTCCCTATGCTTTGTTTTCCAAATTCCAAAGTTGAAATGTACCTATGTAAAACTTAACACATAGATCACATATGGAAATATTTTTATTCAACCAAGAGATGGACATTTCTCTTAAATGCAAAAGCTTTACCAACAGCAACCTTAAGGAACTGTTTCCTGTGCAGCACCACCCTTAAAGCTGAGCTGACTGCTGCACTGGATGGCACCATGCAGAAAAAGTCCTTTCCTTCACCTTCAATTTCAATTTATCAGAGCAGCTGAGACCACTTCTCTGTTGTGGAACTCTACAGACACAAAGACATTTCTCATTTCCATGACACACTCCCAGGTTTATGACATGGAGATTAGCATTGTAGCTCATATGGTATGCAGGACCAGAGAATAATAAAGTCCCCAAACTCTGCATTATTAACTGTCAGTAGTATATTACTGTTCCAGCACCCCTTCAGCATCCAGGCAGTTAACTTTGTCTGTAAAACACACTAATCTGGAAAGTACTGTCCATGTTTCCAACCAGTGTATGCATCTCTGTTAATCAGAAACAAATAGGCAAATTGACAAACATCCACGCACCACCTCACATTCCCCCCGAGTTTCACTTGCAAACCCTTTGAGGCAGAGACCACATTTCCATCTGACCTCTGCACAAAGCTTGGGCAATGAGCCATAATCCTGCTCTGGGGTTCCTGGTTCCTGCTAGAGTACTAACAAGCTTCCTGAAGCAGAATAACATCCATAATATTCTTCCTACCATCCACTTGTAAGAGCTAGGCATCCAGGAAAAGACTGAAGTCTAGTTTCAAATCCAGAATCCTACACTAAGGAATATCACATGCGTACATTTCTTTTGGTGGTACTTGTATCCTACATACCTTTCACTCCACGTGCCACATTGTGGAGTAGCAATCCTACAATGAGCTTACTCCCTGTGGCTGGGTAAGCCCTCAGCAGACTCAGTAACAGCTGAAGCCACAGCAATAGCCTGAAAATACATTGCAGGGACACTGGCTAATCCTAGAGTTTTCAAATACCACCAGGCAAAGGACTGGCTTTCCAGTTGCAAGTAATTGAAGATAGTTTTCCTTAATGCTCTTAAACAAGTTTAAAATAAATGTGATGAGACAGTGTCCTGCCTGAATACAAGCTGCTCCCATATAAACAGTTGTTCCAATCGGCTCCCAGTAGATTAAGGATTTTCTGTGTGTCCTTTCATTTGGAATTAGACACCCCACTGAATTCCAGCAGCAAAGGCTTTGTGCCATCTGTGGGCTCCAAGCCCATTAATTAGACCTAAGCTGTCAAAGCAGCCATGTATTCTGCAAAAGGAGATGTGGGTAAGGAGTCACACCTTGCCCCCTCCAGCCTCTCCTGTCTAGCTGTTTCCACTGAGGCGAGCAACAGGCTGGAGAACAAAGTGCAAATTCCTTCTCTATCCTCTTCCTTCCACACAGTCAGTGTGTTAGTTCTGACACACAGGGAGGGATTAAAAACTCCAAGCAAACATCTACCACAACTGCCCTGTGAACTCTTCTGACAGCCTTGCCCAGGAAACCACACCTTGGTGAGCTGCCCGCCAGCACAGTCACCTGCAGCACCGTGCTGACACACAGCCCATCTTGTCCCTGCCTCGTTTATCCCAGCTGGCCAGTTTGTAAAGCAGGGGATTGCTCTGCAGGATAACAAATCCAGGCTCTAAGGGCTCAACACAGGAACCATCCTCAGATGTGCTTACCCATAGGGTGCTCCAGAGTACATTCATGGACTGGTGAAGAAAAACTGAAACAAAATGGTTCTATTTCTTTCTCATAAATATTTTCATTGTTTTACAGTTAAAAGAGAGTTGCCATTTCACACACAGAGAGAGGACAACACAATTTATTTAGTGTGGTTCAAATCACACACGTTTAAAGAAAGAGACAAGCCAGATTTAATCTTCCACCTCTCCTTCAGGAACATCAAAAGGGAGACAGTTCTTGATTTGGCATGGTCACCCAGAGAACTGAAAAGACACCAGCCTCACAGTGCATTTAAGCTGGCTAAAAGGTGTGATTGACCTTCTTTTAACTTGAAGGTGTAGCCCACCCTGTGATGGGTTTTCAGCTATCTGTAAGTGAGGGAGGTTTTTCAAAGTTTCTCAAATTCTGGAGAACTCCCATAAAGAAAAACACGTTTTCCATTAACTAGATTTTCAGCTTTCTGAGGCTGTAGACAAAAGTTGGAGGCACAAAACCAAAGTTAAACAGGATTTGATTGAACGCTTCAGATAATAACTATAACTTACTGTTTCAAATAATTCACTATCTTTCCTTTCTGTCCTTCCAGAAACTTGCAGTATCTGTGTCAAATACATTACCTAGACACACTAACAATAAATAAAATACCTTTTGACTAAGATTTAAAATAGTAACTCCTTCACACCTAAGCAGAAATGAAACAAAATGAGAGTCAGGAGGACCCAAATGTTGACCACTGAGCTTTTCAACTAGAAATGCTACTCTGAGTTTTAAATATAAAACATTTAAAGGAGATAGAGAATGGGGGGAAAATTGCTGCATGAGTGCTTATAATAAATTGCCATGAGCCCAATTATTCAGGTTATGACTGAAGCTGCTGGGCAGGATGTAGTTTTCAAAGACTAGCTACAAAACTCTTATAAAGCAGTAAAGCAGGGAGTCCTGCCAGCACCAAGAGCTGCTGGGCAGGGCCAGCAGCACCACCACTGCCACCTGAGGAGCAGCCCAGCCCTTGGGCCATGTGCAGAGAGCTGCTCTCCATGCCTGGATCTCACAGCAAACTGCCACCAGCCTGCCCCGGGGGCACAGATATGTGGGACAGCATTAGCCACTCCAGGCCCTGCAGGAGACAGGATTTGTGGTGAGGCTTCTAATCCCCAGCAAGCAATACTGATTAAAAGCATCATAAAATCGAGATCAATCTTTTAAGGCAGTGAGCTAAGAGTCTTGAAGCTACACGTGAGTGGGAAGGTAAGCACCTCTGGAAAATTGTTTCCTTCATTCCATGGCTGCAGTAATAAATAACTTGCATTCCTAAGTTATTGACCTCTCAGCTACCTTGCAATTTTCCTCCAAAGAATTCAAACTTTAAAAAAAGAATGAAGGCTTATGAGAAGAGAAGCTCCCTGCTACAAGTGCTGTGATCATGTCCAGCTGACCACAGGAAAAGGAATAGTTATGCTGAAGACATGGAACTGACTGGCACAATAAGCCAGAATTCAAACCAAGAATGCAAATCACACAGCTTGGTTGCAGCTTGTCTCCAAGGTATATTTTGCATGCATATACTGCATTTTCCATGTACTCCATCCTGAAAGCCTCACAAGTTAGAAGTCACTTAACTCATCACTGAGATAATCATCTTCGACATGAAAGGGTATAAGAAAAAATTAAAGATGGGCACATCTGGTCCATGCCCTTGTTCAAGCTTTACCAAGTGTCACAGGTACTTGAAGTAAGTAATGTCTTAACCTTTAAAGGCCAAATCAGGTTCCCAAGGCTGCTTCAGAAAGCCAGACATGTCATAAGACAATTCCAATGGGAACTGTCTGTCAGCATATCTGCTTCAAAAGTAGAAAAGCCCAGCCCTTGGAGCTTATCTACTTCAAATGTAGTGTCTATGCTCAAGTAATACTCAAAATTAATAGCAAATATCCTGAAAAGCTTAAGAAAATTGTGTTTCAATCCAAAAAAATTCCTCATAGGCAGACACAAGCTCTTTTCAGTCCTACTAATCTGCAGAAATGAGTGAAAAAAAAAAAGTTTATTTGAAGTTTCCTTCCCCAAAGACATCATCACTGTTCTCAAAACCTCCAGCCAAGATGTGTGATGTGATTTCTCTCGCTCTGAAATTCTCCAGTCCAGCTGCCCCTCATGCACCGGGTAGGGTACAGCATCCCTGTGCCTCGAGCTGGAGCACTGGGGATGCATTTTCCTCTCAAAGCAGAGACAACTGGCAGACAATTAGCCTCTTGCACTCAGTCTGTGCTCAGGGATTTCTGAGGCTGGCACTGAGCACCCTCTGGGGGGTAGGGTGGCTTTCTGGCCAGTTGTGTGAGTGGGCAGTGCTGGAGCTTAATCCCAATCAAATCTCATTAGTGCTGCTTAGGAGCTGAATCGTCTGTGGTAACCAGGAGCACTGAATCAGGCTGAATATTCTATTTTGAGGCAACGTGAGGCCAGCTCCTCGTCCTCTCTAACAACTTCTGCACAACTGAAGAGCAGAATTGCAGAGGGGTTTGATAAAGGCAGCAGTCACAGGGACAGACCCCTCCTGAGAGGTCATTGCTGCAAAGGCTGTGCTGGCATCTGCTAAATTAATCCACACATGTAGAGAAATCCCTCATCTGTTGCTGGCATGCTGCTGTGTCTGGCCTGTAACACAGCAACCCTTAAACGATATAGAAAACAAACAAGGGGTTTCAATTGAGAAAACAACTGAATGCAAATCAGCTAATTCACATGAAAGATTTTTAATTTGAACACTCACTTACTAAACTCTAGCACATAAATTATTCTCACCAATAATATTTCAGTAAAAATTAACAAGTGTCCTCCATGGAAAAAGTTTCTTAGAAGCATATGCTGGTATCTAAAAATTCAAATGTAGAGGGAGACAGACCTTCTACAAATAAACTTCAGAAATTTATTGCTGAGTATGAGGTACATGTAATATCTGCCAGGGGTGTGGGGGAGACAGGGAAAAAGGCTCACTCAGACAGATTCTTTATTTAATATATGCTTTTTAGCCAGGCACTTTTCATGCCCTTTGGCTCTTTTCTTTCATCATTATTAGCAAGATCTGAATAATTTGTAACATTGTGATTTCAGTGTCAAATTGAAACTTTACTCTTAACTGTGTTCATGTGCAGAAAATGACACCATTATTTCTAATACTTCAGTAAACAGATTAGAAGGGACTGAAGAAAGGGGGAAATGAGCAGGCCTAGTGCTATGTCCAATATAGGGATTACATTAATGCATAGAATTTAACTCCTGAGAAACAGGAATTCTTTCCAAAGTTCAAAAATGTCTCATCAGCTACAGCTCACTACACTATCATCTCTTTCCTTGTTTGGTCAGTATCTTTAAAAGCTAATCCTTAGATGTTTGGCTTTATCTGAAGCTCTGGCTGACAAGAACAGTTCTGGTAGAGAGACTATCTGATCTACTCAAGTGAAAAGAAGATCAGTACTCACAAAAAAAAAAAAAAAAGTACTTACAACGTACACTGAATAGTTTAAGACAGAGAGTCACAGTAGGAAGAAATTGTAAAGAGAATTTAGGAAAGGGAGCCACCAGAGTAATTACATCCCAAAGGTGGCAAAGAAGCATATTACCCTGAGCCATGGTGACAAAATCCAGCAGCCCAATTACGAGGCATGAGATAGCATGGCTTGTACTGCTTACCCCTCTTGTAATCCTTGTATTGTTTCTGTTTTACATGCTAATTCAACTTCTAAGTCTACTACAACCCTCCACCAACAACGTGCCCAACAGAGAACAGACAGACTGACAGAATTGGGCACATAAGGATACTGGCCACAAAAGACTTGGTCTGAGTGGGCATGGCTGTTTTTCCTGTAATAAAGTTTATTTCTCGATTGCTTAGGCTACCATTTCCCAAAAAAGGAAAGGTTTGCATATGTTGATTATCCAGATTGTTTGTTCTATCTGTGTCTACCCTAGAAAGAAACAGGTGGGAATGTAATTATCTGTCTGCAGCTCCTATAGCTTTATTTACTTTTGCTAGGTGGCAAAAGCCTCTCTAAGTGTCAGAGACTGGCAGATGAACATTCCTGTCATAGGCTTTAAGGAAGTGCTTCTGTCATATTGCTGTAGGCTTTACAGTGCACAGCTTTTTTTTTTTTTCTGACATCTGGGGTTTTTGAGCCTTAAAAAGATACAAGATAAAGAATATGATAAATACGTAATGAACTATTAAAAAAATCAAAGTGCAACAAAATACAGGGATCTGGAGAAAAATCAGTATTTTCTAAAACAGCAGTATCACCCTTCAACATATGAAAGTCTAACTAATAGTAAGATTATTGGTGGTCATTTTATGACTGTGATATTTACAAGCATCAGCCTGAAACAGGGGGGTTGTACTTGTTTTTCTATGCCTACAGTCTAGAAGACAAATTTCTGAAGTGCTGCTTTGTTCCTACAGTCAGAACAGAGTTTTGCAGTAGCAGGTGATGGTATTTTCACTCTTTTGAGATGAATCCTGGATTATGATTGTCTCTGTATCTCTTGCAGTGTGTGCAGAGTTGCTGCCATTGGCTGACTTTGTATTTCGTTTTTGGGAATGTGGGGATGGAAATCAGTCATAGGCATTTACAGACTGGGTACTGCAGGCCTGTAGGCTGGGTCTTGGAGTGTTTTCAACTGATGTCCTTTTAAATAGTATAATATAATGGCTGCTGATGGAAAAGTCATGTAAATGTAATAGTGGCTCATTGCTAGACTGTTGTGACAAACACAAGTTGTGTCTAACGGCAGCTGGAGATTCTACAGGAAAACGATGTGGGAATTCTATAGTGGGACAGTGAGAGGGTTGGACTTGTTCGTCTGGCATGATGTTCTTTACTGCTGGCAGGGAAATGTAAAACCCCATCTAATTCCACTTTATCTCCAAATACACTGTTTATGTTTACTTTCATGCAAACACTAAGCAAGTCCTGGTTGTCAGTGGTTTTCACTTGTCTAAGCAAAGAAACTGTCACCAGTGAGTTTCTCTATAGAGAAAAACATGAGTCTCATAAAACATGAGTTTCTGAACACCCTTCCTTCTCTGACAGCAGCTCTGTCATTTCACCAGTTTTGTACAGACATGTTAAGATAACTACAAATTGTTTGAACGCCACAACACAAAGAGCAGAAAGTGCTGCATGGCTGTGATGCCCATTCCAATGCAGTCAGGCAGAAGGGTTTGGAATACATCACATTACTGTAATATTTCATCAGGTGAAAGAAGATGTTAGCAGAAATATTGTAGCACTTCAGAGAAAGCTCTGCTACACCAGCTTCCACCCATTAAAAGAAAGGCTGCTTGTCTGTGATACACACAGAGATTGTACACTTTGTACAACCAGCCGTATCCAAAAGTCACATGGCTGAAGTGCCAATGCCTCAGACTTGGCTCTCCTGACTGGCCCCTCAATGACTTCTGCTGGCACTTTAAGAATACTGAATAAACCAAACTAATTCTATTACTTAGCTACTCTGTACATAGCATCTATTTTTGTTAGCATTCAAATTGTTCTGAGAAAGAATTATTTTAGTAAACAATGCTGTTTCAGGGAGCAAGAGTTTTTATGCTATATGGGTATAGACAGAGAGTGGTGGGGTTTTAGGCCAGAACAGCTCTCATAAGCAAGATTATCACAGAAAAGTAAGTTTCACCAGTAATAATTTATTTCCTATGGCCTGGCATTTATTATGTTTAACAGCTTGAACTATTTTTTAATAAGTGAATGTTCTTTATCAATTACCCACGAGGTGTACTTACCTCTGAGCCTGAAGTACTTCAGATGGTTGGCAATAGCCTGCTCAACAGATTCATCAGGGCAGATCTTCACCCCGCTGGGAAAGAGGATGGAGCGCTTCCTGCGGAGCTGCAGGTGCCTGTGGAACTGCTCAGTGTCCATGATGCCACTGGGCTTTTCCAGCCCAGGGGGCAGAGAAGGCTTTGCCAGCTGCCAGGCACTGAGCTGAGCATCCTCAGCCTGTCCTCGTCCTGCAGCTGAGTACGCTTCTGCTGTGAATTAAAACCACACAGATTTCTCAGATGAGCTGATAATGCAATCGTCACTATCTTCATGCCACTTCTGTGCTCTCTGAAGGAGATTGCTATGCTTTTTTCTGTTAACAGAACCTGTCTCTGACTGTGATGTTATAAACAACCTTAAGCTCTTGACAATATCCCATCAAATGTTAACACAGCACAAGGCTCTAACCCTTTGAATTCTAACGCCTTGTGTTTACCTTCCCATCTGCCATTAGATCCCATTAAATCAGCGGGGCTATATTAGGAGCTTTCGAGGCTTTTCAGAAGTAAAATAAATATTTGATAAATAATCCTTTTCCATACTTTCTTTCCATAACAATTTGTATACCTTGCAAAAAGAAGGCTGCTTGAATTGAGAGTTAACCTTCCATCACTGAGAGAGGTCTCTACTCTACTAGAGCAGGTGGGGAAAAAGAGGTTGGGGGTTTTTTGGTGGTGGCTTTTTTTTTTTTTTTTTTTTTTGGGTGTTCTTCATTTTTAATTCCCTCTTATGTTAGTTGTTCCACACCATTCCAGAGGAAACTTGAGGAAACATCTGAGGTAAGAACATGTATATTGAGATTTAGTCTGACAGTCTAATTTTCCATCCTTTAAGGTCAGCTGATCTGAAACCATTTAACTCAATTTCTTTCATTTTTTCCCTGGAAAACATACCTGAAAAACAATCACAACCAATCATTTATTAGAGAAAGAATAGTAATAACTCCATGGCATTTGTCATCCAACAGATTATGAGTTTATTCTGCAACTTCTAGTCAGTAGACCTTTGACTTTTATGACTGAAAGATGAAAGGCATGGTTATTTTGATAGTGTATTAATAACCAGCTCTGTTGCAGATCACCAGATGGTATAGCAGAGGCAGAAAGAACATTGAAAAGGTCTCTAAGACAAACCTCCAATCTTTACTCAAATTGATACATGTTCAGCGCCCATATGCAGAACACAGCATCTTACTTTTTAAGATTTAATACAAAATTAATAAAGGAAAATGAAAAGTGAAAAAAATGCCAGCATTTAACGTTTCAAAGTTGAAAAAATTGCCTCCTACAGCTACTTCTACACTCAAGACAAATGTGCAGTAATACTACCTGGAATGTAGTATGACCAAATGTTTGACCAAACATTTCTCTGTATTAGCCCCCTTTGTTCCAATTAAATCAGAGAGCTATCTCTAATTCTATACACTGCCATAGTTAAATTTGTAACCAAGAACATAAGAAATAAGTCTTCATTACCTGCAACCATTTGAAGATCTGTGTTAATCATTCCCGGAAGGCAAAGAAAGATTTTCCATATGAAGCCAAACATGCTTATTTGTAGAATAATAATAATAAAAAATATAAAAGCAAAAAATCCCAATCCCTTTTTGCAAAAGAGCTGTTGCCTTTACCGTAGCCTTGAACCAACCAAGAGCATTGCACTTGTTGAAAATGTCTTGAGGTCACATATCATTATCTTTGGAGAAAGCATTAGGTAAAAACAGTCAACCAATACATCCTGGCTCTGTTCTTTTCAAAGACAATATTCTGCTTTAGTGAAGAAACGAGAAAAGGTGATAGAAGCAGACTCCTTGGAGCTAGCAGATGGACTGACACAATTTTTTAATTTTAATCTGGCCAGCTAAGCTCTTTACCAGGGCTTGTCATACCATTAACAGACAGTCCAAACAAGGACAGCACCTTTCACATTCAATTAACCACGCTTTTTCATTGGCCTTTCCATTTCTGCTCTTTTTAAAAATCCTGCTGGCCACAGAACATCACGGGGAGCACACTGATCTCCAGTAGAAAGTCTCGTGCATTTTGTCTTCTGCTTGTACAAATACAAACACATCTATACATGCATTACTGGCTTAAGCACTGTGGTATATGTAAATACTGAAGCAACTTCTCTGTGGGACTGTTTCTTCTGGTGACAGGGCTGCTGTGGAGTCTGTGCTAAAGGAGCAAGCCTTGTGCTGTTCCAGCACTATCCTCTGCATCCCAAAAGCAGTGCTTCCCCCAAAGATAGAGCCAGGGCGAGTCACGATCCTTTCCTCTCTGTTCAGGTATTACCTGACATGAGCAGCAGCAAGCAGTGAGTACAGAGAGCTGCAGAGATGATCAGTAAGGAAACTGCAGCCAGGACAGAGCACAGGAAAGCAGCAGCACTCTCAGCTCCCACCCAGGGCCAGCTCACTTTGGAAATGGGGATGAAGCTGCCCTGCCATGGCAGACTGCATTCAGACCACCAGGAACCCTTCAGGGCTGGCTCTGCATGGTGACACCCAGACTGTGCTCAGATCAGCCTGAACAAACTGCTGCTTTGGCTGGAGTGACTATTTTTGGGAGTGGTTTTGTATAAGTATATCAAAGCTGGATTCCCAGGTGTCTGTCTGCAAAGCTTTTACACAGAGCTCCTTAGGCAGTACAATGCTCACTTCTCTCTGCTAGCAACTCACATATCATGAATTACCAGCAGCATTACACATACAACACTCACAGCAATCAAATAAAATGACCTTTGTTTTTATGCTCTGACATCTAACAGAATAGCTGGTATGTTTCAAAACAGCAACATATTCTTGGTTCTCCCCTCTCCACCCCAAAAAAAGGTTTCTTGGAAGGTTTTTTAGATTTACAGTATTTTTTCTTTCATCAAAGTACTCAAAAGCACTCAGAATGTGAAGAGTACCATCAGAATGTGAAGAGTAACCATCTCTGTCAAAATTTGTTTTCTATGCTATGGTTATATCAGCTTCCGTGAAATATAATATTTTAGAAGTGTAAATTCAGTTTTATTAATGTTAGTTTGCTATCATTTTTATATTCAAGTGATTTCAGCACTGAAATGTAGACTTGCAACAGCTGAAAATCTCCTACATTTATTATAGCAAAAGGCATATCTAAAAGCAAAATAATTTAGTTTCTTAAAATAAGCAAAACAAATCTTGCAATAGATTCCCAAAATAATTGTGGAAAATTAACTCCTTCCTTGATTTGACAAAAGCCTTTACAGAAACAATTTGTATCAGAAATAATATATAATTCTTCGTTATCAGCATCCAAGTGGTATCTGTTCAAAAGTATTCATGCAAAGAACTCTTGCTGAATGAGAAAAAAAGGGAACTGTAATTCTAGTGACACAACACACCAAGTCATCCCAGCACCTCCAAAAATAAAGATGGTTTTCTGACAGCTTGCATTTCTGAGAAGGAACATGTATTTTCATATAGCAAACATGACTAGCTGAATCACAGTTCTCTACAGAGCAATGCTCACTGAAATACAGCTACAGCACACATACCATTCTAAATAATGTCCCTGTTTTTCAAATGAAATTTATTCAAAAACTGAAGCCACCTGTAACTAAAAAAAATATCAAATAAAAGATTACTTTGATGAAAATTACTAATAAAGAGCCACACCATGGCTCTTTATTATGGAGATACCAACTATCTCCAAGCTCATGAGGGTTACTATCCAGAATCTAAACTGTCTCCCATGACTGGACAAAAAAGACAACTTTATGGCATTTGAGAGGATTTACCAACAAAATTCCCAATCAGTCTAGCAGAGACAAATAGGTTAGCCAAAACCTTTTCACTTGTTTGGTTTCTGTGGTTAAGCATTCACCATTGTCACTTTCTGCTTGTGCTCCTGAAGATTTCTCTGGTGAACACCTCCCAGGAACAAACAAGTTATGAGGCTGTTTAAGTTTCCAGCTGATGAAATTCAGCCCACCACAGCCTGTTGTACTGCCACCTCTTCCATCATACAGTATTGTAAAGTGTTTTGAGCAGAAAAATTAGGAAGTGAGGTCAACCAAATTAATCTCACACTTATCAATGCTGTCCATGTAATGTAAACCTATTCCACTATTCCTCCTTTTCTGAAGTGCTGACCAGAAATCTCTTACCTTGTTCAACAGTCAAAGATGATCCCGGTGTCTGTGCTTCTTTGTACTTCAATTTCCAACTTCAGTTTGGTTGGGCAGAATGATTACTGCTAGTCTTGGTTTTATTCAACACATTTTCAATTCTGAGACTTCTCAAGTCTCATGCCACAATTCCTGCTTTTCCATCTAGAAAACAGTTCTCTTTTCTTCTTTGGGTTTCTTTTTTTTGTGGGGTGAGGGGATGGGTGCCAGAAGCAATATTCTGTTTCTCTGTCCTAACCAGGATAAAAGTGTTACTACTGTGGCTCTCCAGTTTTTATTATTTTCTAAGGTGTAGTACTTCCTGAGCACTGCAAGTTCATCTCGGGGTCAAGGTCCAGGAGGTGAGTACCACAAAAGCCCAGATGAACTATAAATAATCCATGCCTGCAATTCTACTGACAGCAGTCCCCTCATACTTAAAAAATGAACAAAAACCCTCAAAAAACATACTTGCAGATTTGCTTCTCCAGTTCTTAATGAAAACTAGCTGTCTATTTTTAGATTTTTCCTGGCAGATGTACTTTCTACAAGTTACTTCTCTTCTACTTTGCTCCTTGTGTTGGGCAGTACCTTGAGCAGATCTCCACCCCAGATGTATTTGTGGAATATATTTTCTGGTCCCACAGACCAAATGCAGCAGTTTCTTTCACAGAAACTGACAGGTACACTCAGGTACAAGTGACTGCCTTAAACACAATTACACAGCTTAGGGCAAAGAGCCTTGCAGGGGCTGGTTTGCTTTGAAACACCCTGTCACTCCACTATTGCAGTTAAACAGGGCTTTATACAGGAAATGGAAACAGAAGTGATGTGCAGAAAGGTCCCTGAGTCAGTCTGGTTAAAAAGCTAACTTGGGAGTTCCAGCAAGGAAAAAGGGAACATGAAGATACCTGGAGTGTAGCTTCTTCCACAGAGACACTTCCTAGCATTTGCCACACACCTGCTAAGTGCAAACCCTGGGTGGGTGGTGGCTGAAGGTCCCATAATCTTAATAGGGTTAAGACACCTATACTGTGTATGTACCTTAAAAGCAGTCAGATGGCCTCTATTACACTTAACTCGTGGGTTATTTGCAACAGCTGGGAAAAGAATGGTAACAACCACAGTCAGCAACTTCTGGAGATAATTTTAATATCAAATGCAGTGGCATTCTCATAGCACATATGTAAGAAATCTAAAAAGGCAATCCTTTTGTGTAATAAAATCAGTTTAGAAAATTGCATATGTTATTTTGCTTTTCAATATCTATAAAACCAGTCAATCTAAAAGAACCAATTGGTTGGTGATAAAACCTAACTTTAACATAAGAAAAAGCCCAAATTGTTTTTCATAAGGGAACACTGAAAATATTATTCAATTAAGAAAGGTGTAGAGAAGGGGAACGTATTCCTGCATTTCATCTTTTGTTTTACAATAAATACACAGATTATTCTTGTAAGTAATGCTGGTGCTGTGATTTAGGTGCTGAAAGACACAACTCTGGGATGAGAAGGAAAGATGTTGGGAGGCAGGGGAAGAAGGGGTAGTGCCAAACTACAGAATTAAACTAGAAACAAAGACAAAAAAACATACACAGTCATTGCACAAGGCTGCTCACAGCTATACAGACTGTGCTCAGCAAATTGTTGTTTTAAAATTCTCTCTCCCCCTGAAAGAATGCTTCCTGGTTTGAGAAACAAGTAAGGGGGAGTGGAGGGGTGTTGGATGACTGTACAGAACCTGAAATAATAACTGGATTTTCGAGAAGCCAAGTTTCAGAGTTGTCTTGAGGGAAGGGGCCCTGAGAATTCAGCAATGACAAAAATGCTCACGTCTTTGGGTGGCCCTCAATTTTTATTTTAACTCTCAGTTGTATTTCCAGCTTTAAGAGCTCTGGTTTTGTAGACTATTATGACACAAGTGGCCTTGGTGGTTCTCTGACACACAGTCCTTCTGAAGGGTAAGATGACACTTCAGTAAAGTTACAGCGGGGAACAGGAGAAAGCATCCTTTTAGAACAGTCACCTGCTGAGGTGCAGTGAGCACAGAAAGGAGTGCACACATCAAAATGTGACCACTGTTCAAGAAAAAGCTACATAAATACAAATTAAAACAATGAACTTGTGATAGTTTATCAAATCAAGTCTGAGTCCAAACACTCAATATTCAGTCATCTTTACTCAGTTCTCCTAAGGTACAAATCCTGTTTGTCTTATATGTAAATCATGTATCTTAATGACATTATTTTTCAGTAAAACACCTCAGACTTTTGAAGTTGTTAAGCCACAGCCTGTTTGCCTTGCTAATGCATGTGATGCTTTAAGATTTGTAGGAATTATTCCCCAAAATCAGGTGAACAGAATTAAAAATCTACTGCCTACACATATTGTATTGGTATGTACTTTGAGAGCAAGTTTGCTTCTAAAATCTGGTAAGAAAAAAAAAACTTAAAAGAAAATGCACTCCCGACTTTGAAGCATTTCAACAGTCACTCTCAAACAAAGGGAACACACTTGTATGAAAATGCCAGGAAGGGGGAAAATATTTTTAAAAAAAAAATCATCAAAACTCATGAGCCTCAAATCTTGGCAGAATTTTCTGACACATGCAGATTACTTCTGTATATAACCAGAAACAAACCAAAAAATACATCTCTAAAGAGAGTCAACATTAAACCCTTAAAGTAAAAAAATACATAGTATTCATTCTATCTGTATCAACTGCAAACCAAGAGACATAACACAAGATCCAGACCCTGTCTTCAGGCCTGACTCCTACAGGGTCATTCATGTTTATATAGAATTATAAAGAACAGGCTCCAAAAGATAAAAGTATTTTTACATCCTTGAGGCATATACCTGTAAGCAGCTTTCATACTCCAAGAATCAACCAGCAATCCATATGCATTAAGTTTAACTTACATATTTACATCCTTATCTACAACCTTCTCCTTTCCCCATTCCAGCATCTTAAGACCACACAACACCAGTGAAAATAAATAAATACATGACGAATAAAAAGTACTCCTTGTGCCTTAGTTTTTTTCTTCCTTGCAAGGCAGGGAGAGACTGAACACCACTATGCAGAGTTCCAGATATTTTACACAGCAGTGTCCAGGACTGCCTGACTGGATTTATTAGCTGCTGCTGCCACTCTGCTGTTGGAAGTGCAGTTGCAAGATCAGGTCTCGAATTTCTTCTCTTTTGTTTCTGATCAGCTGACGAGGGAACCAATTCTCCAGATTCAGTGGTTGTTCAAAATTAACTATGGGATTCTGGCAAGAGAAAAAGGAATACTTATGGAATTAATTTCCTAGCACAATCTTCAGGAAGAATTTCAAACCCTTCCACTGCTGCTGAGATCAAGGAGGCACAAACGAGTTCCATCCAAGACTGCCAGCCTTCAAAGTCAAATTGCAGTTCCTTCATCATAATCACACATGTATGTGCCCTTACCAAAAGGTACTCAAACAGGTTATCATCACTAAGGTACATCACTATTAACATGTATTAAAAGGCAGATTTCATGTATTTTGACAAATATATAGCAACTATAGCAAACTATAGCAAAGAACCAAGGATACTGTGGTTGAGCATCCTGAGATTTTTGTCTCAAGCATGTGTTTTTTCTGTCATGAGCGGGTCTTCTGACAGGAGACAACAAAAAGTAAGGATATTAATAATAGTTTTAGCAGGACATGAGAAGGGGAGAATTTGGAACAAAAGAGGATAGCAAAATTAAACAGCTGAGAGGTGCTGGCAGATTTGGTAGTCAAGGCCACAACATCACATCTGATTTGCCAAAATAAATTTTTTTTCTTCTTTCCCTCTTCACTCTTTTGCCATGCTTATGTTTCACCTCCTCCTTCCTTTGAATAAAGTAATATATGATAAATTGAAACAATAAACTAAAGAACACATCATGATTCGCAGTCTATGAGTCCTGGCATGTTTAGGATAAGTTACAAACACCTTTAACACATGTTACAAGGTGTTTGTAAACACCTTGTCCCAAACCTTGCTTCTTCAAGAAAAAACAAGTCCCCCTTGTTAGAAAATGGGCAGTTCAAAAGCTTTGGTAAGAATTTAATTTTCCACCTACACAAGAGCTCAACCTATGTATGGCAGAACCACAGAATGGTTGGGGATTGAAGGAACTTCTGGAGTTTTGCATCCCCAGCCAGACCCCCCTGGCTTCCAGCAGAGCACCTCTCCTCACTGGGTCACTCGGGTCAGGAATTCTCCAGGGAGCTGCCAGCCCAAGTAACCCCAATGCCCCAGGGTCTGTGAAGGTGAGGCTGCTTTCACCTGTCCAGAGGGGACTCCTGCACTTGTTCCCCAAGGCCCCAGGGTCTGTGAAGGTGAGACTGCTTTTACCTGTCCAACTTGTTCCCCAAGGCCCCAGGGTCTGTGAAGGTGAGGCTGTTTTCACCTGTCCAACTTGTTCCCCAATGCCCCGGGGTCTGTGAAGGTGAGGCTGCTTTCACCTGTCCAGAGGGGACTCCTGCACTTGTTCCCCAAGGCCCCAGGGTCTGTGAAGGTGAGGCTGTTTTCACCTGTCCAACTTGTTCCCCAAGGCCCCAGGGTCTGTGAAGGTGAGGCTGCTTTCACCTGTCCAAAGGGGACTCCTGCACTTGTTCCTCATCAGATAGCAGATGCCCACTGCTATGTCACCCACGGAGTTCTGCTCTTTAGTCACTACCCAGAGCCTCTCAGATGGCTCCTCACCAGCCCTAGGCACAGATCCATGCATTCCAGCTGACCCACATAAAGGACAACTCTACCTCCTTGTGTTTTGTGCTTTCCAAGGAGTCCCTATCCATCCATAGCACTCCTGCTGGATACATGATATATCCAACGTGCCCATGACCTGGACAAGATGACAGCCTGCCAGGGCACACAGAGCTCCCATCTCCCCACCCTCCTCCAGTGGGCACAGCTGTGTACAGGTGCTTTGGAGTGGCAATCTGTTCTCCTACAGCAGAGAAGCTGCCCACTGCCCCACACAAGGCTGTGCACACACAGCAGTCTCGGAGCATGCGAACCACACACATTGAGCATCAAACTAACAGAGCCATTCACAGGACAGAGCAAAGGGCAGTGTGCTGTCAGGGGCAGGAAGACCTGGGGACACCCTGGAGGACAGTGCCTGACACCCAGGATCTGCAGATATTTAAACATATGTGCTGGAAAAGAAAAAGAGACTCCCTTAGCTCTACACATTCCCTTTTAACAATTCCCCTCTCTCTACAGAAACTGCTGCCTGCAGACCCACTCAAAGACAGATGCACAAGCTGACAAAGTTTTAGATGCTGCAAGAAGAGATGCAAAGACACTTCTGTAGCATCTGTAGGGCAGCAGTGCATGCACTGATAGGCACCAAATGCATGCAGGTAGTCAGGGATACTGCATGTGTTAAAATAAAAGCAGCATTAAACTACAAGGTTAGAAACATTTGAGGACAGACACATACCAGACAACAGACAGACCTCTGCCAATACTTAAGAATGGGTTTCATCTCCTTTTTCTCAAATGGCTTTGACACTTTTGACTCGACAGCTTTTTTTTTTTTCTTTTGTGTCTGGCTATTTTGCTCAGAAAATGGGTTTTTGTGGTTTAAGATAATTTGGGAGAAAGGAGAAGGTAGTTTGCAGCTGTACCTGGATGAAGCTTTCCACATACTGCAGCAAATAGACCCCACAATCACTGCAGTTATCTTGTTTAGGCACTCTGGGACACAGGTCAATCATTGTTGATTTACTGAATTCCCGATGTGTTTTTCTTTTAGCTTCCCATTCCACTTCAAGGTACCTACAAAAGAAAGAAAGCAGTCAAAATACTTGAGGAATGACCCCCAAGCTCAATACCTTCTGGGACCCAACTCAACGTTGTTCCAAACACTATTCTATTGCACTCAGAGGTGTTTCTACCACATAATAGGCAATATACAAAACAAATATGCATGATATCATTTAAAATCAGCTATTTATGCAAGGTTTCTATAAGCTATTAGGATATCAGGACATTTTTATACCTTAACAAAGGAAAATTTTTCTTGGCTATCACACATTATTCCCAGGTTCATTCTAAGAGGCCAGCACTGTTTTTCAACCTAAGCAAACCATGAAAGCCCCCTTAAACCTCACCTTACAAAAAACTTCAGCAATAATTGCAGGTATATAATCCTTGCAATCTAACAGTGCACAAGGTATTTAAAGTCTTGATGAAAACCTTAGAAAGTTTTTCTATAGTAATTAGGATATATCTGTTGTCAGGCTTTTCTGTTGCTCTCATGCTTCAGTAGCAACTCACTGACTCCACATTCAGGGCTCTGCTGATTTTAGAGATGGGATGGAAAAACTAAGGGTCTGGTTTGCAATGGCAATAGTTATCTGTATTCTTCTGGCTTTAGCTAGACCTACAAAGTCTCAGGGCTCCTGAAAATCAAGCATAATGTCTGACTTAAAAGAATAAATATATGCATTAAATCAGACCTTGTGTTTGATTTCTAAAAGCCCCAAGTCTTTGCAGTCACGAGAACAAAAATACATATAGAACACTTAAGCAGCTTTTGGAGAAAATGGCAACTGTGAAAAGGCACCAAATATGAAGCAGTTCAAAGAGATGACATTTCAGTGAAGCACCCTTCCCAGAAACTGCAAGAACCTATGACTGTAGATTTTCTAATTCATTTGTCTGAGCCTGACAACTGCCCAAAACAGATGAAAAATCAGCTCAGGGAAAAGAAGATGTCATAGAATCCCTACATCAGTTTCCTTAAACTTCTGCTTCCAGGGTGTAAGTGGAAACTGAAGGAATAAGAGGTTTGCTTCCTAAACTCCCCTTATCTCATGACTCCAAAGATTTCCATTTGTTTTCTGACTTTTTGTGACATCTCTCTAACTCCAAGAAACCACACTCTGGAATTTCAGTCTCAGGTGTAGTTCAAAGAATAGTGCACTAAAATAATACATCCCACAGAGATTTTATCAATAAATAAATAGATAGAAGTTCCTATTTCATTCTTCCTCCCAAGACACTTGGCAAGGAGGTCTCATGATTTAAGGAAAAGATGGTTTCACAAGGACTTCTAAATCCCATCTAAACTTTACATAGCATTTTGAAGAATATACTTTTACAAGAATGTAGTGCGATTTAGTTTACAGATTTTTGTACCCTTCAGTGAAAGGAGAACACAAAGAACAATTGCATTTGGCTTCAGATATTTAATAATTTTTTTGAAAGTTGCTGATAGACATTAAAGTCATTAGGAGTGTGTAAAAGTACTTAAAGTTCTTATTATATTCTTACTATACTTACATACTTCTCACATACAAAATTGAATATATTTTTACACTTTTCAAAACAAATACCATTCCACTATAACTCTACTGACACATCAAGCTTTTAGACAGCTTCAGTCTAGTTTCTGCATTTTTGTACATAGGAGTGGATTTAACACTAATTCTCTAAGTGTCATCCAAAAAATGAACAACGGTCCCCTAGAAAATTATTGTTCAGATTTCAAAGTATTCATTTTAAGTGTTTTTCTACCCTTAAAAACACCTTCAGTTGCTAGACTAGATGGGATAAATCCTCCCCCCACAAAAACAACACTAGCAAAACTCTATTTTTCTTTTTTCTCCACTGTCCACTTTACAGTTTTTGCATCATATGTGGGTTGCAGAACATAGACAGGCTTTTCATGGAAGCCTCTGTATTGTAATTACAGTTTTAGTCATGACTTTTCATAGATTTTCTTTTAGCATTAGAAATATATACCTTTCATAGACAAAAGTACTTTGCATATAGAAATATAACCAGCAGCATCTACTGCTAAAAGACAGAAACTGTAGTTACTTACTCTCTCAAAACCTGAACTGTTTTCTGCACAGAACATGCTTTCAAGGAATCTAAGATGAGTATACAAGGCCTGTACACAACAAAAACAAAAGTAAGTCATTGCAGTCTTTCATCACCAACACTGCTGAAGGAAGTATTTTGTTTGCATGCAGCCTACCCAAAATAATTAATATTTTAACCAATGTGGTAAAAATGAACAAGTACCTACAGCTGTGGTTTTATGACAATACCTAAATTACTGCAGAATTTCCTAATTTAATGCTACACTATTAGAAAGAAAACAGAAACATACCTTTTACAAATCTGCTTTTTGGAATTACTTAGGGAGATCTGAGACAAGAAAAAAAATAAAATAAATCTTAAAAAACCAACACCAATTATAAATGCTAAGATCTTCACAAATTTAAAGGTAGCTAGAGAAGCTCTCATTTCAGAAAAGTAGAAACTGATAAATCAATTTTAAAAACAGGTGAAATCCCAGCAGAGCAAATAGGTAAGCAAAGGAGGACAAAGCTAATTCAAAATGCCTTGCACATCCTGCAGGCTATGCAAACATCAATAACTACTGCAAAAAAGATGATGCAATATCCCTTGGTCAAGTCTCATAGCCTTCAGAAATTCAGTAATAGGTTTTCTCTGTCAATACAAAAAGGAACTTACTTTAGAAATAGCTGAATATAGAACTGAAGCAGAAGCAGCAATTTCATTGCCACCTAGTACAAAAGAACAAAAAACAAAAGTTAAGAAAAATAATGCCTAAGCGAAGTATTTTTATTTTCATGTTCATGATTATTAGTATTCAAAACATGAAAGTAAAGAGCTAATTTATATACCACTTTTTAACATTCCCTTTTGAATTTTGAAATAGCAGTGTTACCAAAGGTCTTCCTTCCTGATAAAATTCTTGCTGAAACCAAAGAACTTTCCAGCCATCCCTGATTTTCCATGTCTCTTCCAGTGTCTTCCAGAGTTCTTAGTATGTATGGGTACATAAACACATACTACACCAGTCTGGAAGTTCTAGAAATCATCATTCACATGATTTTCCTCCTTCAAGGACTAAGCCACGTCGTGCTGCTCATGGCTTGACATTACTTTCTCCTAGAGTACGTGCCTTTAGAGAACTCCAATTTAGGGTTTATTATTGAGAATTCTATTTAAGTGTAGAGAAGTTGTGTTACCGTGCAGCTCCTCTCCATCCCTGGGGCGCCGGGCAGCGGCTGCAGCGCTCTCCCTGCCTGGCTGGGGCCGCTCCTCGCACACGGCCTCCTCCAGCCAGGGGAAACAGATGACTGCCATGTACCAGTGAGACCTGCCAGCAGAGAGGGAAAAGGTGTCACAATTCTGTAGCATTTGCTGCTGAAAAGGTTATGAAAAGCTTTTCTATACTGAGAGCTCAAGGACAACTGTTCTGTGACACACAACCGTCACTGCCACGTTCTTTCCATGGCATCTCGTACTAATCCTCTCCCTCATTTTTTTACTTTGCATTGTGGCATAAAGCAAAAATAAGCATCAATTCCTTTACAAACCCCAAGAAACCCTCCACAGAAATTTATCAGTGTATGAGCACCCATTCCACCCTTCAACTCAAATCCAAAATAAAAGAATACTAATCAGTGATGGTGAATCCAGTTTTTAATATAGCTGAAGGTATGGCACCTTTCCACAGCTGTTTTCCATTATGTACCTTCCAGTGGTGATTCAGTTTTACAGGAGCTTCCATGTACAGGCTGGTTATTTAACCAGGACAAGGCACAGATTATGGAAGTTCTACTTTTATCTATTGACAATATGAGTTGCTGTGATTTCTTTATAGAAATATTACTGAAGTGCACAGGAACCATCATAACACAAATTAGTCTGAAAAATACCTAACAGTAATTTTCAGTAAAAACAAATACCAAAGTACAAAGTTGACAACTGAATAAACACCTTACCTTTTGAACAGCTTTCAAAAATTACTCATTCCACACGTGTTACTTCTTCAAAATCTAATCTATCACAGGCAATGATCAGCCACAGATTTTTACTACTACAACATTCACTGAAACCTTTAAATAGCAGAAAAGGTGTTGAAAACATGGACTTACTCCTCATTGACAGGCACAAAGATATAATCTTTATTGAAGATATTTATATGGCGAGTCCATGTTCTTACTCTTCTGTGTCTTCTCTGTGCTGCTCTGAAAAAACAAACGACAATTGTTGTTTGGTTTCACTCCTTTCACTTACAGCAAGGCATAGGGATTAGCACTCCTACATCTCCCCAGTCCCTCAATGGGTTTTTAATTTATTCTAGAAATTTCCTAGACAGACCATTGAGCCCAAGTGACTAATGAGCCATTTCTGAACCATTTTAAGCTCTTCTTGAAAGAAAACCCCACAATCACTCATAGATTGGAGTGGATTTCTTGCAATTATTATTTACTGCACTAAATGCAAAACCCTCATCTGAACACCAGTCGGTTTCTGGTCATAATGGCATCTAAAATGAACTTACGAAACTTTGACATCCCCCTCAGAGTTTTTTTCTGTCCTGGTCAGGCACTTGTAGAAGAAACTGCTAAAAATGTGTGTACGGTCAGCAACATGTTTTGGTGCCTTCTCCAACAACAGATACCTACCAAAGAAGAATACAAAATTATGAAACTATTTTTCTAGAAAGTACTGTTACTGCTAAAAAAAAAGGGCAGTTATTCTAATGACTTATCATACTCAGGCAACTGATACTAGAACTTAGTATCAGTTGCCTTCACAGCCACTAATCACACCCAACTTTTCTCTTTTAAGTAATCACATCAGCAGAGCATATAACAGCCAAGCACATACTAAGAAGGCAGTTATTTTTTGTCTCCAATTTCTTCTCCAGTATTCGAGCTTCTGACTTTATTTTGAAAGTTAGGTACCTAGCTCTTACAATTAAGAGAGACCTGGAAAACCTAACCAAGTATAAACCTATATGTGTATACTATGTGCCTATACTTGTGCCTCCTCAAAGAGCACGGAAAACAGGTCAGTTAAATTGTCCATTTCACTTTTTCCCATTGTTACTTCTGAAATTTTGTATTTAGTGACCAACACTTCCAGTAACATTCGAGTCCACATCACACCCCAGAGAGTGAAGGATAGAAGAAGGGCTGAGATCACTTACTTTAGATAGAAATCAATGATGACATCATTGAGAAACTCGCCATATTCTAAGCACTCTAGGTCTTCTCTTGTGACTCCCAGGCCTCCTTTTGCAGGTGGGGGTGGATAAACAATTAAACTAGAAAACAAATCATATCATAACAGTGACAAACTCTTATGTGACATTGTTCTGAATATGGCTGTCTTATATGCAGAAGATTTTCTATAAAACCTGTGAAAAGCAGTAGTTCTCAAAATCTTACCATTTCCTCCTCCAATATTTAGGTGGTACAAAACAAGTATCACCCCAAAGCACCCTGAAACTTTGATAAAAACTTTTGAAAAGCAGACTATTTTTGTCTTCATCCTGTTTTCCTATTTTTATCAAAGTATTTGAAAAATGGCTGTATAAAATGTGAAGTAATACTAGAGGACAAATGGTTATAAAAAGATTGAGTGTGACAGAACAGTAAAAGAAAACTTTGTTCAGAGTTTACAAAAAGATGGCTTATATTAGTAAGTTTTGCTAAGATAGGATTAAATGGGTACTGACAGAACCCATGAGGTCCCCACCCTCCTTGCTGATGCACCCATGATATGACCTTGTAGTCACAAATCAGACTTACTCCAATTTCTGTCAGACTGTCATCCTATAACACACCCATATTGTCTTGTAACAGGTAACTACGCTGATATTTGCTGATATTTGATATTTGAAGAGTGACTTTTATACAACACTTTCAAATCAACTAGAGAATGGCAGATAAGTGAGGGCTTTTATTTCAGTAATTAATTCATTCAATTTATTATATTTTCTCTTTCTGATTTATATGAAATACACTTACTTCTCAACTGCTCCAATTTCTCTTACTTCTTTCCATTCATCACTCAGTGCAGAGGACAAAGAGACACAATAGCAGCCACTATTCTGCTTATTTGCAAGGGCATAACTGGGCCTGACGACTTTCAGCTTTGATTCCTATGAGAAAAACACAGACAATTGTAAAAAACATTATACAGCTTGATACATAAAAAACAAGATGCAAAACCCAAGCCTAAAAGCCACAGGAGTACCCTGCATCACTGAAGAGGATTCTTGCTGGAGATTCAAAGTATGAACTTTGGTATTTGGGCAAACATACCGTTGTTCAGACTAAATTAATAACTAAAAAGTTATTAATATTTTAAAAAATAATGACAGATCTTAGTTGATAATAATCTCTCTAAAACTATTCAAAAGTATTATTTAGCCAAGTGAACCAGAAATGGTTTTGGAGAAGAAACATAAAAGAATGGAGACAAGTGTCAGACTGTCTTACCAGAAGCTGTATATGCTTGGAAGGTTTGAAAATCTAGTCCTTGAACAATATGCCTAAAAACAACCCATATTTGAGCTGGCTGGCTTCCTTTTAAAGTCCCCAATTTCATGGACATTTCAGATTCATATGCTGTCTCTTGGTTTTTTACTGGTGGGAACAAAGGTATGTAAATTCTGTGTGACAATGATGTGGGGCTGGGTTTGGACATCTACTCAAGAGATTAAACCAAGATAACACGTCAACTTGCACGGATTCATTTCCCCAGCAGTCTGAGGAATAATTCAGCATTTTCAAGCTGTGGAGACCCCACAAGTACATCTAAAGGTATCTGGAGGACCATCTACACAGCTCCTCCTTTGCTGCACTTCCACCTCAACCAAAAAAAAGGTTCTATTATTCATTACTTGATTAACTTCCTGCTTGCTGCCCTAGAGACACCACAAGGGCAGAACAGCCCTGTGGTTCTAAATTTACACAACCATGAATAGATTTAAAGCATTGGTACTTGCCATTTATCAAGGCAAGTACCAGTGCTTTATATGAGGTTTACAGACTATCCCTCTGTGGACACAGAGGCTGACTGCAAATTTTGGAGTAATCCTGACTAGGTTTTTTTGAGCTATGAATTAAGGAAGAAGGCTGACCTAAAATTTACTCAAATGTGTGAATGCCAACCAGTGGTGATGAATGAAACAGCAGCTATCCACTAACCTGAATTACAGGCTCAGGAGCATCTGAGGTATTCTCTTTCGGCATGTATTGCTTTAGTAGATCCTTATTGCAACTCACAAAAGAGCTTTCTTCAGGAGAAAGATCCTTAAGCAAGGATAATGCTTGTTTACAAGACAAAAACTCAGCAAGATCTGGTGCTCTGTTCCTCTTGCTGACACCTGTAATCAGTTTAGTCAGTCTGTCTTCTTCCCATTCTGTGAGTGGTTGAGACAGTTCAAAAACTACAAATTCATTTGATTTGGCTGGAAAAGGGAGAGAATGGTAACATTAACTATTAGATTATGTGATAGAGACTTGTCTGAACACCCACAAAAGAACATAAAAGGACATCAAAACATTCACATTACTATGTAAAATTTAAAAGTGTAAAACAATCAAACAGAAATTTAATAAAAATTCCTGATGGTTTTTCCAACAAGAATGTCACCAATGCAGATAAACTTAATATTAAAAGATGCCTTGCATCTTCAGACCCACATTCCACTCAATTCATTAGGAACTGTATCCAAAGAAGGTACCAGTAACTTCAATAAACTTGCATCAACTAAAGGTTGCTGTCTGCTAAAATTTTATTCAGTAGTTTGCTTCAAACTACTTGCACTCCTTATGTAAAGCTGCCATTACTTATAATTTTTCTTCATACAGGTGGTAACTGTATAGGGAATACACTCTATTAAATGTCACACAGACAATACTGACATCATCTTTTTCGTAGATGCTATTTGCAACAATTTTGCTTACGTAAAAACCTTGTATGATTGTGCCACTCTGAATATGTGAGCCAAAGTTATATTCTATTTACAGAGATTCATGCTGGAAAACCAAATAGAATGAGTCCATAATACTTTGAGACTAAACAGCCCGTTTGGCCTTTTGTGGAAATTTTCTTCAATAATAATGCAATGGCTCACTGCAGTGTTGTCAAAGGTCAAGTCAATCTTTACTTGCCAAGCCTTTTGTATAGCATATATAATACACAGGAATAAGGACACTTAACACATCCATATATTTTCAAGGGAGAAGATGCTTTGTACTCAAGTCTAGTTTCAGAAAGCTTTCTGACAGAGACTACAATTAAATTGTTCTGATGTCTTTTTATTAAGTAGCAGTAGTTTTGAATCACATAATATTAGGGTTTTTTTCTTCCAAATAAAAGTACAGTTAAGTATTTTAGAAATGCAGAAGTAACCAACTTCTCTACACTGGTACAGCCTCACCTTGAGTGCATGTATGCAATTTTGGGCATCACAAAATAAAAATGACATTAAGCTATCAGAGAGCATCCAGAGGAGGGCCACAAAGATGGTAAAGTAAGCTGAGGACAGACCCCATTGCGGTTACAGCGTCCTTGTGAGGGGGAGAGGAGGGGCAGGCACTGATCTCTGCTCTGGTGACAGTGACAGGACCCAAGGAATGGCCTGAAGTTGTGTCAGGGGAGGGTTAGGTTGGATATCAGGAAAAGATTCTTTCCCAGAGGGTGTTTGGGCCCTGGAACAGGCTCCCCAGGGAAGTGGTCACAGCACCAAGCCTGACGGAGTTCAAGAAGCATTTTGACAATGCTGTCAAGCACGTGGTGTGATTCTTGGGGATGGTGCTATGCAGGGCCAGGAGCTGGACTCAATCATCCTTCCAACTCCGTGTATTTTCTGATTCTGTGATCTTTACAACATTATAGGCTTTCCTCTGCATTCGAGAAACACAGCTGTAAAACAACCACTTCACTGACGTGACCTTTTCATTGCACTTAAGGAAAGCAATTACTTACATGGCTGGCTGGTAACTAACTTTCCCATCTGGGTTTCAATCTCTTCTACATAATCCACAGACAACCAAAGAAAAATAATTGTTGAAGAACAGCCACCACCACTTTTCCACCAGCCAAATCTTCTCAGATCCAGTGTATCCACTGTAAGCTCAATGTTCTTCAGAAACACTGTAGAAAACAGAATTCAAAAAGCCATGCTCTTAACAGCCATGGACAGAGCACTACATATGCTGAGAGGCATGACAGGAGTGTATTAACACTAAACTTATAGATTTTATGCCTTGCATTACATGAAATCCTGAGAATGCAATATTTAAGTCAGTTACATCAAGCTGTGTAAAACAAAGTTACCAAATTGGAACACAAAAATATAAACACCTGCATGCAGAATTCTTCCTGAAAAAATTGTTTTTTCCTCAAAATAACCGCAGTTAATACCTACAAATATGGAAAAAAGAATACTGCAAATCATTAATTCCTATATGCCTTCGGTCAACTCGGATTAGAACTGCTCATAAACCTTTTCCTACTAGACGTCAAATTGGAAAATCAACCGAATGCAAATCTATATTCCTATTAACTTTAGTCCACACATACATTTTTGTAAACCTAAGGATCTAAAATGCTAGCTTGAAAAGTTCAATGTTTCACCTCAAAACCACACATAGTCATATCTGCTATACTTCAACACCTAAAATATGCAGGAATATGGGAGGCACGCCATAAAAAACACAAATTGACCTTAAAAGTACAAGAAGCTGCTAAGTTGTTAGTGCTTACACTATAGACACCAAAATTTTATTTATTGAAAAACACAAAAAATTATCTAACATCTTTGTGAGAGATAAATTATTTATAACAGAAATACATACTTAGTGTTTTAATGCAATACTTTAAAGATACCATTAAGAAAATGCTAAAGAAAATTATCTTACCCTGAAATGGGATCACAATATTTTTCATTGTAAACTGAAATAAGATTTTAAAAAAATATATATTAGTTTACATTTTACAAACTGATGAAAACAATATATGGATTTTTAAATATCTGCATTTCTTTCCTTATAGAGAAATAAACTGAAAATAATATAATAGAATCATTGTGTCTGGAAAACACCATTAAGCTCAAATCAAATATGCTTAGTTTGAGACCTCACACTGCCTGTATCACCTGAAAAACATTCCTAAAGGCACTGCAGAGCACAAGTGACAGTAAGTAACTTGCAGAAATGCAAGGCACTGAGAAATGAGCAGAAAGTTGCAGACTGCCTACAGGCTCCTTAAAAAGAAGAGAAAAGAACACTTGGGATAGAAGGAGCTAAAACAACCTGTGTGAAGCTGTCAGGTGCACTGCTTGAAGTAAGGACATGATAGAAAACTTTATGCTGCTATTTCTTTCCATCAGTCTTTGGGTTAAAGGCCTTGAAAGATTGCACTTGCACTGCTGCTATGTTAAAGAGGCTTTGCTAAATGAAAAATGCTTTATTGTCACTTTGACAAAAGGTTATATATATTAGCAAAGGAGGTTTCCCCTGTGGCACCACAGTAGGCACAAAGTTGTGTTTCCCAAGCAAGATTTCTACTTTACACTTAAGAGCATTAATCCTAAACTTATTTCAACTCATCCTTCAATTTTTCTGCCTATTAATTTAGAAAATTTCCATGAAATGTTTTTGCAACTGCTGTTTTGTGAGAAGCTGAAATTGTTATTACAATCCAAGATTTCAAATTGTCTTGCAGAAGGCAAAAGAGATGCAGGTTCAAACATCTCTTTTTCAGTTGCAATATACAGAATGAACGTGGTCACAGACCTGTTGAAACTCCTGGAGTTGGTGCTCCATTTAAAGAACATCTTCACTTATGTTTCTACACGCTGTGAGTAGCAGACTGTCTATACACTAAAGCTTTTAGTACTGTTTTTATGCTAGCTGAAGCCACAAAGCAAGCAACAAGTTTTTTTAAAAGGCAAGAGCATAGTATATATCTGAACTCTGATCATTATTAATTACTTTATTAGAACACAACCACTATTTCAGAAAAGTAATAGGTCTTTATTTTAAGTGACATTAATTGGCCATTAATATGGCCCTTGTTTTCTGTTAGAATTCATTAAAAACTTCCTGAGTATGACTTTTACTCCAGTATAGCATTTATACAGAGCCTTTACACGTGAAAACTGTGGCTACAGCAAATCACAGCTAGCTTTTATATTGACAGCAATCCAAATGCACAAGGCAATGGACCACACACTCCATTGTTTAGCCAAAGGAATTTAATGCAACAGTAATAAAAACTCTGTGCTTCCACACTAAGTACCACTGACTTTGTTTAACCAGAATTTTAATTTTTAAATAGTCACAAAACAGCATAATAGAACAACTTACCCTAGCAGGACCTGTTGATAAACACTTAAATTTCCCAATGTGTAGTCTATCAAACTCAACATTCAGCGCCAGATTTGTCTGCTTTCTAGGTATGCTTCCAGAAGGTAAGCTAAGAGGACATTTATCTTCAATTGACCCTGTTAAAAACTGGAAAAAAAAAAAAAGTATTTGTTAGATATGCCTCTCTTGTAACTTCAGGAATACCTTTCTTCATGGTTGTAAGAATTGACTCTCAAAGTCAGCTTCCACATTAAAAAACATTAAAAAGCTCTAAGTGTTACTACATTCTTTACTGACAATTTCCTTAGGAGTATAACAGTACCTTGCTACACCTCCATTACCAAGACACAATCTGTGTTCTTGACTTGGTTCTACATTAGTAAAAACACAAACAACGGAGCAACAAAATAATACCCTTCTTTCCATAGCAAAGCTTCAGGATTCAATTCTGTGCTTATGATTTAATTGATTCACCTGTGAGAAGAGGCAGCAGCAATGGCTCTTCTGACTTGTTTCAGGATTAGAGATAACCCATATCCAGGTCTGAGCAAGTACCCAAAAGCTAATTAAGTCCATAACGGGGTAAACAACCTTTATGGCTACTTTTAGATTCAAGTTCTACAGCTAGCCTGACAGGAAAGGGAACTTCACCTTATCTCTGTCTGCTGTCAACAAAGATCCTGAACTTCTATAAGCCCTGAATGACATCAGAGGAATTGATGACAAAAAGAAACCACGATCAATGTAAAACTGTGTGAAAACAAATTTTTCCACAGATGTATCTTTATCATGTCTGTTTCTATCTCAGGTTACTATATAATCTTCTTGTTTTCTGAAATTAAGTATTTCCAAATGTTTATTCTCAAAATAGGAAATACATTGTGTGCAGCAAAAACACCCAAGCTTCAGAACCAGACTGTCCAGTATTCTATCTGTGAAATAAATTACTGCAGCTTCTGCTTGTGGCTGAGACCATAATAAACAATCATTTTCTATAACAAACATTACAGAAATAAGTTGGCATAACAATACATAGGCCAAAAGCTGGACTACCTGCTCTGTGTGACTTTTCGTCTTGTTTTCTAATTGCTTCTCTGAAAAACAGAAGTCAGACTGTTGGTCTGTTTCTTTACTTTCGGTGATACTATCCTGCATCAGCTCTGTGCATTGTGGTTTAGAAGGTCCATCTTCATCATCACTGGAAAGGATAACTAAAAAGGAAAAAAGAAGTATACATATACTACAAATTACAGACTTGTGAATATTTCATTCCTTGTGGATTTCAGACAAGTAAAGAATTCTGGCTCGCAGTCATGATATCAAAGTACACTGCTCAGACTGGTCAAGATCTGCTTGCATGGAATTGTATGCAACAAGCAGTGCTCTGCATCTTTACAAACACCTTTTATACCAAATCCTCAACATTATTTGGCTATTAAATGAAACAGGACACAGCACAGCTGCTTCAAAGAAGAGAGTAATTTTTCTCAGTTTTAGCATCATTAAAAATTAAAAGCTTGGTTTTTCCATAGCCACAAAATCAGCTGAAAAAAGAAGATTGGAATTCAAGAATCTTGCTGTCCATCAAGTTTCTCAGGTACAAGATCCTGACACTAGGCACTGTTCTCTAACCTCCACACTGCATTAACAACAGGATAGCAGACTTCAATCTTTGGTTCCCTATGTCTCAAGCAGCCAGTTATGCTCCAGCTCTCCCAGAACCGAGTGTAACAGCAGGAATTGTCACCAGCACAGGCACAGTACATACTTGGGTCAATGGAAACAAGGTGCTGATTACCCCTGCAGATTCTGTTCCGCAGCCTGCTCAGGTACTCGGATTTGTCCATCTTTAACTTCCTGATTGTAGGAACCCGTGGTGAAATCACATCCTCTCTGGTGGCAGAAAGCTGTTTCTTTGGCAAATTTCTGGAAGGAGACTCTGAGGCAGAGGCCTCTGTGAGGCTGTGAGCAGGCCTTAAGTGGTTGTGGGTGGAAGAGTCTTTAGAGTCTCTCTCTGCTGGGCAATCTGACACCAGAATAGGATCAGATCTGTGGTTTTGTCCATCTTCACAGGGTATTCTGCAGCCAGGAGACCGAGCCGAACTCAAACTTTTATCTTCCTAGAAACAGGAATCAGAGATAGCATGCAAGTTTATTACTTGACATTTCTAGATGGTTCAGATCACTGATCTTAGCTATGTGCTAGAAAAAATAATTATAGCTTAACACAGTGACATTTAATGCTCAATTCTGGATAATGTCTCCCCGCTCATATTCCAAAGAGTATTATTACATAAAAGCATGAGGGACAACCTTTTAAAAGGCTACAGTGACCCCTGTTCAAACTGGACAAGGAACTTTTTCTGATTTTCAGCAGCTCTGTCAGTGTCAGACATGGAGAGGCCAATAATCAGTGCTTTCTTTGCTTTCCAAAAGTGTGGCTTGCTCAACTGGACTTTACAGGTTTGATAACTGCCTGTCTCTGTATGGCTTAAATCAGAAGGCTACAAAGATGCCTTTATTGTTTATATTCAAATGCTTGAATATAAACCACACTTTGTACTTGACTGATGCCCTCAGTCTTTTATTTTTTCAAATCCTGATGGGTAAGAACAAAATTTCAGGAAAAAGTACAATGGACTAAGGAGGAAGCAAAAAGGTGACATCTGCCAGATTCCAATAACCTCAGGTATACTTTTAGTTTTGCTGTTAATGCCCCTAATTAGTCCCCAATTCTAGATCACCTGTGAAAGAAGCTTCATTTAAGTAGCTAGATGCCTTATTTTCAAAATTGTTTGAATCTATGCTCCTGCCTGAAGGAAACGTTGTCATTAATCTTTCTCAACCTTTCTGCTACAATAAGCACATTGTGATGATGTGGACAGAAGAACTTTTATTCACTCCTTGTGATGCATCACTGAACTACTTTACCTCAACAGGTAACGCCTACTAATATATCTGTAAAATAAATCCTATTTATTTGGCATAATCCTTTTATTTGGGATGTTGCTACAGCTGCTACATTAGTATGTGTGAATGTGTGCTAAAATTAAGTGCAACTTACAGAGAATGCAAGTGACTTTTGTGGAACCTGTGCATTACAATCATCAGAAATATGGCCACTATGTCTTCTTTTCCTTTTCTCAGAATCAAAAGAGCCCGATTCCTTTTGACTAAGAGTAGTGCTGCTCATGTGTCTGCTCCTCTTCTCCAGTTCACCACAGTGCTTGTTTTCTGTGTCCAAAAAAAAAAAAAGTAATTTAACATACTATCTTTAAAAACATTTATATTTCTTCATATTGTTTATGTCTTATATAAAATGCATGGAAGCAGGTGTAATAAGTTCTCCACAGTAAGTTCTTTCCTTTTTTAATTGTATATGGCTGCCAAAACATATTCCCTAAAATTGTTTTTTTTTTGCATTATAAGTCAAGGGTATAACCAAATTCATAGCTCCCTTCCAAACAAAAATTAGCACTTTATACTCCACAGTCTTTCTTTATCTTCTCCCACGTGCAATATTCTCAATTTCCTGTTCTAATCTGCAAATATTAGTAGCCAGCATAAAAAGATAACACATTATCCCTGAAGAATGTGCATAGAGGTCATAATTCTTCAGCAGTAAAAACAGTTATTGTCTAGCATGAATGTTTTAGTAGGGTTCACAAACTATTTGAGTATTCTTAATGGATTACATTCTTTATTATAAGACTTTTTAGAAAATCAAGATTATATCAGTGCAGTGAGGGTGCACTCAGTCTCATTTTTCTTCCACAGATTTGATTCACCACAGTTTTATTCCTATTTAAAACCAGGCATTTGATATATTTTTACTGTATCTGTAAAAAAAAAATGTATTCTGAGGAAACATATACACTGTGTGCAATACCTCAATTTATTTCTGTGCTCTCCTCACAGTAAAAAAGGAAAATATCCCAACAATCTCCAAAATTCATACTTAACTGCCAGATGACTGCTAACTACAAACCTTTCTTCTGCAGCTCTCGTCTTCTGAAAGAGACAGCATTAATTTTTTCTGGTTCCTTAGAAGCCTTGGTCAATTTACACAGTTCATCATCTGTCTTTCTCAGGCAAAGTTCAGACCTGGAAATAGTATTAACTGTGACTTATCTTTAATTTTGAAATAATACTGAATAAAAATCCCAAGAGAAACAAGAGTTGACCAGACTTCAAACTTCTGCCTCTCCCACAAACATGTGGACCTTACCAAATGAAACACAAATTAATTCAGTCCAGTTATGGAAATACACATATACTCTAACATTATTAATGAAACAGATGCTTCTAAAAAGCACAGTATGAGAATCTGATATGCTTGAGATCAGACACTGAAACATTATGTTGCTTTAAGGAATGACTGCAACAAGAACACAAGGAAAAAAGAGAACAGTCAGTTGACTATCATTGCCTTTGTAAAAATATACTACATTCTCACCATATTTGTTAACTTAGATTCAGAACTGGTGATAGAATCCATTGAGTAAGATCTTAAATTGTGAAATTATTTGAAAGAGAAATTCCTGCTCAAAAGGGCCTGAAACATTAACTTTAAAGGTGATGGAAAGGGATGGGCCATCAAAAGAAAGAAACAGAAAAGAATTACAGTACTTATTAAAATGGATTTTGTGTTTATCATTTTATAATGTGTTCAACTCAGAGCGTTGTGGTCTCAAATTTTCAAAGAGCAAGTGATCATCACAGCACCTGATATCACTGACAGCCAAGTTTCAACTCCTAAAAATCATCACCCACCATGGCAAAAAACATTCTTGACATCTCTAACCAGACAACCAAAACTGTTGAACACTTTTTGAACAGATGACTACTCTTTAGTGACTCATCTGTAAATTGGTGTATCAGTGCTCTTTGGGAATTCTGTACAGACAAAGATTCCTGGAGTGCTCCAGTACTACAGTGGTGAGCACTGGGAAAAAATTCCTGATTATCTTTCCATTCATAAAGAATCATGAACTGGACCAGACACAGAAGAAGTTTCCAATAAGTGCTATTGTTCATTCTGTATATGGAACAAGACACTCGGTCTTACAGAGACTAGGCAGGTCACTATAGAAAATTTTATTTTGGAACCCACACTTCTCTCTCAACTAAAATATTTGTATGCATAACAGCTGTATAGAGTTGACAGTCTTAAAAGACCATACAAAACCATCAAGTGTTTTTCAGTATTTGTTTTACACCAACATCACAATTCGGGGATTTTAACAACAGAAAGCACGTGAATAGGGCTGCTTCAGCTAACAGATTTTCCTAAACATATTCGCTTTATACACAAATTCCACACGTTTTATTTTCCATGCCAGCTTCGCTGATAATTCAGCTTAAAATGCACCCCTCAACAGATATATGCATCACCTATGAAGCTATGGCAATATATATTGTAAAGTGTTTTTAACAACCACGAGAAAGAAATACTGTAAACACTTTAAAACCCTAGCTTTCTTTATCTTTAAAACCTGCCTCAAATTCATTAGTTATACTGACAGGTCAGTGCTCACTTAAATAAGTGCATTTCACACTGGGTTGTGGTAAAGCAACAACAATTCACCAATTCTGTAATATAAAGAGCATGAATGGAAAGAGGAAGCTGGCAGTAAGTTCTAGCTGGTAGAGATAAGTTCATTTATTATCACCCTGTTCTGATGCCACACAATTCTTTAACTCAATCAGAAATTTCCACAGTACAGAACGAGCACAATTTTCAGCAATACAAAGCATGCATTCTGGCTGTTCTGATGGTGCAAGAGACTCTGTATGATCATGTGCATAAATGTGCACAACCCTTACAAGAGGGGAGCTTTTATCATTCTCCTCCAAAGAAGAGCCCCCAAATGAATCAGTGCCAAGTCTGTGGAATGCACTGACTTTACTCCCGGATACGTGACCAGGATCAAACCATGACTTTGCTGAAATAATTCCTCAATTCTCCATTTCCCATATTGTATCTGTGACAAATTGCACTAAAGTCACTGGGGAAGGGAGAAAAGTCATCCTTTTCTGGATGCTGGTTCCTGATAACAAGCTTTTTACACAATACGTTAGAAAACCATGGACAGGTACAGATTATTAATCATTCAAACAATGAACCACTGCAAGTCTAAAGCAAGGTGAGTTCACAACTACTACAAAAGATTGTCAGCTCAAACTATTATTGTGCTTAATATATCATACTGTGCTCCAGATATGAGTCAGAAAAAATACACAAGATATACCCTCAGATTTAGAGCGCTAAATACAAGAGTTCATGTTTTCCTCTCTATAAATCCACTACCTCCCATCATCCAAAACTTTAAAAAGTTAAAAAACTTTCAGATACTGAAAAATTAGTCTTATTTTGCAATAAAATAAAATAAAACCCAAAAACCTAAACTCACAAGAATCCAAATAAACACCCCACACTTCAGCCAGCCTTAAGTCACAGAAAATTATTAGCAAAAAATATGATACTTTAAAATGAGACAACCTAATAAACTGCTCTCTCTAAATCTCATTTAAATTGCAGCTTTGTCAGATTAATCTAAGTAGCAACAGGCAACTGAATAGGAAAAAAAATTGCTATTAATTTCAGTTCTCTAATATTTTGATGTATCAGAATGAGGAATATGACTGACTTTTCTCTATTTTAACTTGGGAACTTTTAATTACTCCTGCCTTCAAAAAAAAAAAAAAAAAAAAGGCAACACATCATTCTTCTCTTCATCTTTTTACCGTCTTCCTCAGAATTTCCTGTTATTTTTCCCTGTGGAAAATTTGCTGATGTAGCCATAACAGACAAAAAGAGGCAGCTTACTTTGAATACAACTGCCACCTTAGAACAAAATATCTGTTATCTAATCTTAATATCTGACTTCTGCTAGTTTTATATGTCAAACATTACTGTGATGCTCAGTCAACCTAAATATAGGAAGAAAAGATGAAAAGTAGATGTTAAGTGATAGGAGGACACACATAGCCCTTAACCAAAGCCACCCTGTTAGGAATACTGACACCACCAGTGGGTTAATGTGAAAAGAAATTAATTATCACAGAGAGGAATTTGGAGATATTTTTGCAAAAGAAGTTTTTGAAATCATGCTAGAACACATTAACACCAACAGGAAAGCAAGATTTTGGTTCTGGATACAAAACCACCCTAGATGTGTTAGAATTACTTTTGTTTCTTCCCAAATCAAAGCAGTGATGCATTGCAAACAGAAATTCCTTCTAAGAAAGAAAAGTAGCCTTTTAACATCGGGTCCAGCAAACCAGAACAAATGCAATGTTAAAATGGCTCATTGGAGAAGCATGTTAATTTGCACTCAACAAACCAATCTCTTGATTCAAGAAAAGAGTAGAACAAAAGTTGTTTCAGGGAAATTCTTTTCCACTGTGAAGTTAGGTCATTTCAGGAAGACTGGCAAAATCAGCAGTGAGTAACATACCTTTCAGAAAGAAAAGAATTTTCATGAGGAGAACTTAACATTTGACATGTCTGTAGGCTGGCAACAGCTGATGAGGGCAGTTGACCCAATTGCAATTTGTCTGCAGCAGGTAAATTTGCATCAATTATTACGTGGCTGTCTATGTACTTTCTTCCAATTTTCGTACTCAGGACGTTCGTCAAGATAACTTTGGGTTGCCTGCCATACATATAATAGTAAATGATAAGTACTGCACTGCAATCTACAGAAACAAGCTTCTTGTTAAATTCATGTATCCTAGAGGCTTGGAATTAAACATCAGCATTTTGTAGTCCCTTAGGGGCAAAAAAAAAAAATTAATAATAATCACATTAATGTACATGGAAAGCAGGCAAACACAAAATAAGACCAAGGTAAGAAAAACTAGCCATGTAGTTTTATCTTAGCCAGTTACTATGCACACTGCATTGCCTCTAACATATCCTGCAGTACTGTTTAAAAACTGGTAAATATTTCCCTCTAAACGGCTTCCATGCAGCATCTGTACACATTTGTCAGACTCTGGAACAAATAATCTTGATTTTCCTGCGAACAAGAAGCCTCCAGTAAAACAGCAAATTTTCTAAAGCACTTAGTGAAAAGGTAGAAAAGTAGCCCGTACACAAAAGGTAGCATTAGATTTTATTCCACTCCTCAAATATGAGGTGGCACTCTATAGTATTGCAAGACCCAGAAAAATACCCCCAGGTGTTAAAACAGCCAGGCATCAAAAATAAGCCAAGCAGAAATACAGAGGTGCAACTCCTACTTGAACACACACATAATGAGTCAGAGCAGCTCAGCTTCATACAATGACACAGCAGCCAGCTTGTTGTATAGCCCATATCCACTTCCTTCCTCAGACTGGGATTTAAATGCTACCACTCCATTGCAATTTATTTTGTATTAGGTTGTAAGGCTGTGGCCTTTTTGAATGTGTTTTGAACAACAGTGCCTTTTGGGAATTGACTGCATAATTCTCCTGTTGCCTGTGTTCATCCTCCAGCACAGGCTCTGTGACATCTGGAGAGCACTCACATCTCCTCTGGCACCAAGATGTAAATTTGCTTTTCATCAGGAGACTACCTTCCAGACACGATTGCAAAGACCCACAGGGGATAAACAATTAAGAGATACAATTAAAGATGAAAATTCTAATACTGAAGAACATGTAGACTGGATGTAACCTCCAGTAAAGGAAGCCCCTAAACTGTCTGTCATCAGAAGCTCAACAGATAATCCAGAGAATACAGCATTCACTCCAGCCATACTTTTCCCTGAATATCTACAATTGACCACTGCTTGCAGGGCTGCAAAGAAGATACTAGACTTGCTATGCTTTTCTTCTGATCATTTATGACAGTTTACCTAATTTCATGAGTAGTCTAAAGCAGTAACAGTGAAAATACACCTTGGTATCTCCTCTTAGAAAAGCGCTGCAGTTAAATTCAAGTGTATTCTTTTCACAAGAATAAAAAAAAGCCAAACATTTAGAGAATCCAATGGCTAAACCATAATTAATTGGTCTTGACAGTACAAGATCATCTAGAAGCCATTTGATCAGAAAAAACACTAAAGCATGCCTGGCACCATCTCTTGGTGAAGGAAAACCAAAGGCAATTATTCCTATTTCTAAAACAAGTATTTACCATAGTCTCTCATCTACCTCGCCAAAACTGAAAAAAAACCACAAAGGCAATGAAAACATAGTTATGCATGTAATGATGGAAAAAAACAAAGAATATATAATGAAAAATGTTGTTAGCTGCCCATGACAAGTCTCATGTTGCCTTTCATAGGCAAGAAAACAATTATCCTACCTTATACACCACAGGAACAAAAGCTATTGTTTATACCACTTTGGGGAAAAATGCTTGACATCTATTTCACACAACAGTCACAGCTGCTTGATATGGTTCCCTACCCAACTATCATATTGTGTACACATACCAGTGCTGGAACTGCTGTCTCCAACTCATTCAAATTTGTATCAGAAAGTGATGAACATGAGACAAGGAGACTGCTGGCTCATTTGGGACTAAACTACTATTAATTGTTTACACCACTGACTTCCTGGCTATATTCTTTTACTAGTAAACCCACGTTCCCGGAAATAAATATTGTGGCAGTGGGATGTCACATACTGTTTGAGGGGTGTTCCCACAGCCCTCACACAAGCTGAGGGTCTGTTCTGTGTTTACAGAATAAAGTCACTGATAGACTTGATGGGTATTCAGCTATCTGAGCTTCTGCAGCACATGCACAGCCCAGAAGCTCCTTGCACTTTCAGAGCCCAAAGAAATAATGTGACACACTATCGTTAACAGGAATCTCTGATTGATGCATTCACTGACAACACTGTTGTGAGGAAACCTTTTGATTGTCTGAGATTGGCTCCTATCAATAAAGCAGATTGCTTCTAAAATCTAATAGGAGTTTGCCATTAATACTTATTTCCTATTTTGTAATGCAAATGAAAAATGCCTCACTGGGAATAAAAACTATTGCATAAGTAAACAACTTCCTTCTTTCCTCTTTCTGGTTTTGTCAGTTCTCAGACTCTTGCTCAACAAACACCACCTCTTTAGAACCTGTGTGCTCTTTCCACTTATGATGCAATGAAGTCCCCATGTTGATTCTGACTTTCTGAGAAACACTGAGAACCCAAGTGGAACACTTAGTATAAGCTCCATTGCAGACAGAAGAATAAATTGTCTTTACCGAGAGGCTCCAGCTAGTCTCTAGAAATACATCTTTTTTCAAGGATCTGAAAAATTTACAGGTTTAATATCTAAATACTTGCTGTCTCTCTGAAGTCTAAATAATTTCTCAGTATTGTGCTGGTAACAATTTGTGTAAAAATTATGGAACACCTATAAACGCTATTTGAAAATCTCTTGCATATTGAAATAAACAGAAAATTAATACAGAACAGATTTAAAGGTAGCTTTAAAGAAACCAAACTTCTCAATGTTTAAAGATCAGTTCAGTTTACTGAAAGACCTCTAGAGATGGGTATCTTGATATCATATATCAACCATGTCAAAACATAAATAAAATTCAGAAAACTGCAATTAAATTCTGTTAGGTTGACCCTGTGAGCTGCATCCTCAGTTAAAAGTTACTGACAGAAGCTTTTTGAGGTAAACTGACAGCTATGCCTCTGAGGAGGAATGAAAAATAAACTCAGCATCTTTTACAATTTCAGGTCTTCCCTGCAACACTTTGAAGCAATTCTGAATATACAGACTAGGCTAAACAATGATTATTTATAAACCACAAACCTACAGAACTCAGCAGTGTCAAAATCACCTGCATTTTCATTACCTGTGCACTTTGTTTTTAACAGCCTCTCCTGATAAGAAACCACTTATGGGCAAGTTTAGTTGCAGCCAGAAAACAGGGCAGAAAATGCTTATTCTTTTATTTAGAATTAAGTGATTTAGGGAATAATAACTGTTTCATTATGACAAACACATTCATTTTGTCACAAAGTCATTAGGTTTCCCAACTCCTGCTAATAAATCTAGATCTATATTTTTATTTCCATTTGTCAACTGCAGAAATTACAGCTTCAACATTTTCTTGGATAAAACAATTACCTAGCTGACAACTCTGAAGATGATGATTTTATCTTATAAAAGCTTATTAATAATTTGCCATAATCTCAAAGAAATCAAGATATTTGCTCTTGGCAACAGAGAAAGAAGTGATACATCAGCAACCTTAATTACTTAAGTGTCTTGACAGTAACACAGAGGTGAAAAACTTATGTCCAGTTGCCATGAGACCACTGAAGCATGATTCTCTAAAGGTGAACCACCAAACAGCTCGAAAACCATCTCTGCAGGGCACAAACAATTAGCCAGAGACCAGAGACACTCATCTTCAAGAAAGACCGTAAAACTCTGAATATGCAAACAGAGATAATCTAATTTTGAGATTACTTCTTACCCAATTGATTCTTCGTCATTAAAGCTGTGTCTGTTGCAATCCTTTTGCCTTTTTCCTTTTGTGGAAGGCTTTCTGTTGTTGGCACTTAATCCCCACTGAAACAAAATAAATAAAATTGGCAGATTTCAAAAAACCTGAGTATGTCATAATGGATAATGCACTAGGAAAATAGGACACTGAAACAATGCAAGTGACCAAAGTTATGAAGAGCATATACAACAATTTTGCAAATAATTAATTTGCTTGATTTAAAGAATCCACATACCACCTGAGCTTGAACAGAACTTTTTTTCTCCTGAAGAAATATACAGGAAAATTCCATTGTTTCCCAATTTCAAGGGGGACTATACCAAACACAGACTTAAATATTAGGCCTGCTCCACATAATCACAAATAGACAAGATGCAGAAAGTAGAGGCTAATGCTGTACATGTAGGCAAATTTTACAGGCTACAATATGGATATAAAAGATATAAAATTCTGAGAAGGAAAAGCAATTTGAAGGTTTGGTACTTAGGTGGCAAACCCCAGAACAGCAAGACTTCAATTTTTTCCAAATTCTCTTACCTTACCAGAAAGTACTTACATTTTCAAATTAAATAAATGAAGCCTCACTAAAACATAGTTATTGCTGCAATTCCAGGAACCTCCAATCCTCCTTCTAATCTTCCTCATTTCTTAAAATTCAAAATATAATAAACCCAAGAGATGCTTGAAAATTATGGCACTCAGGCTGAAAGCAAACAAACTTATCTTGATTTGTGACTAAGTGTGGTTTGAAAGGGCATCTGAAAAGTTCATGCCCGTGCATATTCTACAAACTTTAATGAAGTCTGAAAGGCACATCCCAAACTTTTCACTACCCTAAGGACTCAGTCTAATGCAAAATAACCCATTATTCAAGCTGGCAGCAAGAAATTGACTTGCCAAGCCTCTCCCCGCTTCTGCCTTCAAACACCACCTAGATCACCTCATACCACGGGTGTTCAAGCACAGGAGAGACCTGTACATCCAAATCACTGAAAACCGCACCAAGTTTCTCAAACAACAAGGTGACAACTCTGGCAACTCACAACCAAGTTTTTTAAAGTAGAACATAAAATCCAGGCACTGTTTCAAGCATTTGAAATCCCCCAATATATGGGAAAGCTTGAAATATTTATAGACACAGGTGGGAAAAATAAGAAATAGAAAATTAGACAACATCCAAGAAATAACAAGGAAATAAAGTATTTTTCAATTCACCATTCAAATCATCATTTTTATAGAGGCAGAGGGAAATACAGGAAGAACTCCATGCAAGTGCTGTCCGAATGTGCCTGACAGGTGGCTGCTTGTAGCCACAGCAGACAGCACCTCTCATTTCAAACCCTGACTGCAAGTGGCGGATCTGCTCACTGAGAGCTTCACCAGTACAGAACACAGCCCACAGGAGTCTCTGCTGCAGCGTTCTCAGATGACCTGGCCAACCAAGAGTCACATCACCACTGCTGCTCAGAGTCAAGAAAAGTGCCTGCCTTCCCTCACCACACCTTTCAACCTCCTCTGAGGCAGAGGAGGTCTGTTTATTCAGGCCCATGATTCTGAAAGCACTGGAGCCAGCAACAAACTCTGGATGCTGAGCTGAAGGAAACAAGAGTAGCAAAATGTGTTTCCAACACTTAACATTTGAAATGCTTACGAAATTTGGAACAGATTTATAGAGGCAAATACTTGCTTTTATACATGACTGAAATAATCCAGACACTCGGTTGTGATAAATGCCATAAGACTCTTATAGTCTTTTAGTCTTAATACAGTTACTTCTGTATTAGCACCTAAAAGTCTATCAAGAGGCATAGAGTGCTTCAGATATTCTCTTAAAAGCTTAAGCTCTTGGATAACTGAAAACTCAATGTAAAAGTTGTTTCCATATAACAAAAAGTTTGGTAAGTGATTTGAATAGAACCTAAAAGTTCAGCACTTGGAAGACAATCAACTAAAAAAATAAATATCATATTTACCTTTAAATGAATGATTCTCGAGGTACTTTCAAACTATGCCCAAAGACAAACTGCGTTTCAATGATTTAGGAAACATGGCACTAAGACTCCCATGTCTGTAAATGTGTGCTTGCAAACATTTACAAACAGATTTCAGACTTACAGACTTGTCTCTCTCAAGACAGCCTGAATTAGTTACTTGTCACAAGGCAGCACTTGGTGTTGAAAAAACCCAGCCTCCAAAACTAAACCAAAACCTCATGTAGCATTCTCCTAGACACTTTACACTCTGAAGAACTTCTCTTTACCTCTTTTAAAGGGTAGTCACAATGGTGGGAGCCTGGGAGCCTTGCCAAAGGGGACTGAACTTGGACATCCTCTGACTTGGTGTTTGTTTTCTTCTTTGGTATACGAAACTGAAAATAGATGATGTTACACATGGTAAAACTAAATTATCCACTGGTGCTATAAGCTGACATACCTCCATGTACAATGTTGTCTTAACTGGGCAAAATAAAGTTGTAAGGGAAGCCCTGACTTGTGACTTTACTTGAAATGTATTCCTCATTAATGCTTGATCCCAAATCATGTGTCATACCACATGATGAGCTAGTTTTAATACATGAACCATCTGCAAAAGCTCCATCTCATTAACGTCACATCTTCAAACATGACAAAAAGGTGATAACCAATCCACTGGCACAGTGTTCTTGGTTCATTTTAATTTGTTTACATTCTAGATTAACTGTCTCAGCTTAGAGAATGATAGCAAATGATAACAAAATAGCTTAATGTCATGACCAGGTTTGCGTTCTCAAAAGTTCAGGATGAAGAACAATTACATCTTACTGTTCTTTATTGTACAAATATTTTAGTATGATACTTTAGCATCAAACAGACTTTAATGTACTCAAAATGATATCAGCTATTGTCATTGCCAACTCACACAGAAATGGAGCCAGCATTTTGAAAGTAATTATTGAAAGCAGCTAGTAATCCACATGAATTCACCAGTTCAGAAAAAAATCATACGTAGGAAAGTAGGTTTGTTCATTGAAAACCAAACAAAAAATAATCAAACTAAATTTGTACTGGTTCATCAAGATAAGGAAACAAGATGATATTTCCTATCAGTTAATTAAACTAGTTAAAATACCAACTGAAAGAATAAAAGTGCAAGCATCAATATTGCTCCAGGCATCCTGAGAAGCAAAACCTGACATTGCAAGTACAACCAGATCAGAACGTATAAGAGAGGGAATGCAACATTTACACTTCTCAGAAAACTGAATCTAGCTCAGGCAGGAAAAGCTGAAGCTACTCCATATGATGGACACTGTAAAGCATCCTATGAACTTGATTTGCAAGCCACCAGATGCCTTGCATTGTAACATGAAATTACAAGCAGGGATTCCAGAACAGTGACTCTGACAACTTAATTATTAGCACCTTAACTGCATTCATTAGCTCAGCAGGTAGTCCTTCAGACAGACCATAAGGAAGCATGCTGCACCATACTGAGATAATATTTCAATCCTTCAGTCTCAATCGTGAGTGCTCTTACTCCTTCTCTAAACTTCTTTGAAACTAAGATTAAAGTTTTACGTAATTAGACCCAAATTTCTATACAGTATCTCAGGCTGCCTTTGCTGGTCAAAAACTGCAAAAAATACTCCTTTAATAACAGATTCCTCAAACTCTAAAGGATACAAATGTCTCACACAGGCAACAACTTCTCCCTTCCTTTTCTATCAACACAGAAGGATTGAAACATTTTTTTATTCAAGAACTTCTACAAGTAAATTGTTTCAAATTTGTTTGGTTGGTTTTGTTTTAGAAGTGGCCTGACATTTATCAGTCAGAATGCATATTTCTGATCTGCACTGTAATGGCTAGGAACAGATCTCTTACTTCAGACCTCCACCTGCTGCCTGACTAGCAGCTTATGTTTTGATAGTCCAAAGAACATACAATTATCTAGAATTTTAACATGCATTTAAAATTAAAGAGGTTCTGATAACCTCTGTAACGACATAACAGACAACATTAAGTACAGATAAAGTCAGACTCAGTAAAAAGAAGAGACAACTGACAGAAAGGGATAAAAAGCACAAGATACATAAACCAGCAACATTTCCAGCTCACCACACAGCACCTTCCTAATGCTTGCACTCATTAAGAAGACGCTGGTTTACAGCACCCACAACTAACTTACAGAGCAAGCACAAAGTCAACAGGCAAAGAGAGGTCTGAATCTATGCTAAACACAAGGTATGCAGTTGCCTCAGCTTTTCCCAAATAAGAAGTGACTAACTCTACACATACGTGTGCGTACGCACTCAGCAGACTCATCTAAAGCAGCAATACTTTCCTGAAGGTTCCCACCTGTAGAAGCAAGGGCCAGAGAAAGTGCATAAACACAGTGCTGGAAACAGCTCATTTCTCAACCATTATGTCCCCTAGACCTCACCCAATCACACCAGCTCCTTTGTCCACCATCTGTTCTCACCCACTGCTAGAAACTGCTTCTAATAGGGATATTTTAGGAAAAAACACACACTAGCATAAGAAGCCTCTGAGTACATCTCTGCAGATAAAGTTTTACACAGCTTTGCAGCTGTTTTCTATTTACTTTAAATTACTCTAAAATTTTAGGTGTTAGCCTAGGTCTTAAGATAACTTTGAAAATACCCTGTTTATACCTAATCAAATGCTAAGCCTATAACGTATTAATAAGTGTACAACAGTAGACATTAGTATTGACTGCTACCACAATAAACAGTTTGTTAAGAAAGCATGTTCCAACAAAGTGAAGAATTAATGAGAACACCCTAGGATACCTACAGACTCAAAATAAAATGTTGACAATTTCAGGAACACTTACACTGACATGACTTGAGGTTGATGTTCGTCCTGACATGGTCTTCCTTGCTGGAAAAAAAAAATACAAAGAAAAAAAAAAGAAATTTAAGAATTTCTAGTTTATTAAGAGGGAAGTAGAACCACAGCAGCAAGCACTAAGAAAGAATAAGAAAACTTTTGAGCAATCTAGAACAAAAGAACAACATTCATAATATGGCTTGGGTTGGATAGGGAATTTAAAAGATTTTATAGTTCAGCCATCCTGCCATGGGCAGGGACATCTTTCAAGTGATCAGTTTGCTTAAAGCTATTCAACCTGACTTTGAACACTTCCAGGGATGGGGCATCCACTGCTTCTCTGGGCAACCTGTTCCAGTCTCACTATTCTTATCGTAAAAAAATATTTCTTCCTTGTGTCCAGTCTACACCTACCCTCTTTCAATTTATGACCATCCCCTCTTGCCATATCACTACAGGCCTTGGTAAAAAGTAATTGACAGCCACAATACAAGATAGACACACACCTGGGCAAGGCTCTGGATTGTCAGCACAGACTAAATTATTAATGAAATTGTCCTAGAATTTATCCTTAGCTAAGACATTTACTGATTAACTCCTTGCTGCAAGCACACAAATAATAAGCAGTTCACACTTAGACTAGTGAAACACAGATGAAAAAATCAAACCCCACAATTCCAATAAAGATTTGTAGGGAATAGGTATGTTTGTTTATTCACAGCGCTGGACCATGTGGGGACTCATTGCCCTTCAATGGACATGTGCACCTCTGAGAACTCCCCATCCTTTCTTATTACCCTTAATAATTTCCATGTGCACAGAATTTCACAATAGGTTCATGCATATTCATTCTGCTGATTTCGAGTTACACTTGTACTCAGTTTTTGTCAGAAAGTACAGAAAGAACTCCTGGGTCACTCTGCGCTGTTTCAAGGTCTGAGGAGTCTTTCTTATCTCTTATCTTTTAGTGTAGAAATTTGCATTCTCTCTCCTTAGCTGGGGTAGTTTTGCTAGTGCTGCAGTTACCAGACTAAACAGCATATTTCACTTAGGTTAGTAAGCTCAAAGGGGCATATTTCACCTAAATCCAAATGGATTTCTACCCTGGTAAATTTTCACTCTGTCTCACTAGAGCGTGAAAAGGAATAAAAAAAGCACATCTGTACCACTGCAAGGGTTCCAAGAATATGTAATATCCAAGGATTCCTGTTAAACCTATAAACTGTATCGCTAGAAGAACACCACCTCCCAGATTCCAGCATTTATACGTATTCCAGTTATATAGATTCTGTACGACTCTGGCATAAGACCTTCAAAGATTTGAAGTTTCTCGAGAAGCCAAGTTCGGGATTTTACGTCTCTCAGAGTTTGCTTTTTTTTTTTTTTTTAAGTTAGAGCTATAGTCCCCCTCCGCTGCCGGCCCCGGCTGCGGCGCTGCCCTCCTCCGATCGGGCCCGCACCGCCGGAGCGGTCTGTGTACCGGGCCGGCCCCGGTACCGGCACCGGCACTCACCGCACCGCCGGAGCGGTCTGTGTACCGGGCCGGCCCCGGGACTCACCGCACCGCAGGAACCGCGTACCGGGCCGGGGCCGGCAGCACCGACACTCACTCCCGGCAGCACCAACACTCACCCCGGAGCCGCGTACCGGGCCGGGGCCGGCAGCACCAACACTCACCCCGGAGCCGCGTACCGGGCCGGGCCGGCCCCGGCAGCACCGACACTCACCCCGCAGCCGCGTACCGGGCCGGCCCCGGCAGTACCAACACTCACCCCCAGAGCCGCGTACCGGGCCGGGACCGGCAGCACCAACACTCATCCCCGGAGCCGCGTACCGGGCCGGGGCCGGCAGCACCGACACTCACCCCGGAGCCCCGTACCGGGCCGGCCCCGGCAGTACCAACACTCACCCCGCAGCCGCGTACCGGGCCGGGGCCGGCAGCACCGACACTCACCCCCGGCAGCACCGACACTCACCCCCGGCAGCACCAACACTCACCCCGCAGCCGCGTACCGGGCCGCGGCCGCCGCCGCCCGCGCAGCTTCCCCCGGTAGTTCCGGGCCAGGCACCGCCCCTCGGGCCCTCCGCGCTTTAACCCGCTCGGGATGAGCTCGGTACCAGTCTTAGCGGCTAAAAGCCATGAGAGAAGAGCTAAAGCCGCGTCGCCCGGCCCAGGTTTCAGCTGTTCCCTGCTAGTGCCGCTTGCCCAGCTGACAGCCAGAGCCGCCAGATCAGCCCCGTGTCGGGCAGCGCCGGGAGCGCCCTAAAGCCCCGGCTGGCCTCAGAAACCCTCCTACGGCTGAGGGGAGACGAGAATTGGTGGCTGGGTTTTGGGGTGTTTTTTTTGTTTGGTTGTTCTGTGCTTTTTTTTCTTTTTTTTTTTTTTTTTTTTTTTAGGACAGCTTCGGAATTGTAAGTTTTGTGTGGCGCTTTCAGCTTTGTTTTCTTCTTGGCAGTGGGAATTAAAACTGGTGTGGACAAATGTTTCATTTCATACTCGAGGTTTAGCCTTAGTTTACTGTCAGGTGTGAATTGCAAAGGAGAGAGGCAAGTTTGTAACTTGGAACTATCTGAAGTGCTTTAGGTGGCCATGAACTACCAGCTACTGTAAGATTTTGTAGGTACACGCCCCAGCACGTCAAGTAATGAAAATTAAAACCATGACTGGGTTTATTTTTTTCATGCAGAGGACTTGTCTACACTCCCAGAGTGAAGAAGATTTCTATCTATGATGATGACAGATTTTACAGAAGAGGATACGGTAATATTGGGCTTTACTAGAATGAAACGGTTTTAAATGGAAAACAAAGTAATCGTTATGGATCTTATATAGTACTTATACTGCAGTAGTGTTTAGAATATGCCAAATGCTGAAACAAGCACCAGGTGAATTTACATCTGAAGCATTTTAGGATCTGAATAGAAAAGTGGGAGGAAGGAAAAGAGGGATTATGTTTCCCCCAAGAGCAAATTTTCAAAAATAAGGTAGCAATTGCTACCAGCTGCCAGCCTATACAGCCTTGAATATTGCATTTATATATAGACAATGAAGTACAAACAGCTATCAATGCTGATTTAGAATGCAGAATTACAGCAAAAAAGTACATGCAGTACAGTTCCAGCTGTATCTGGAACAACCTGTAATTGCTACTTTTTAATTCTATATTTAATTGTTACTACAATTAAAATCGGCCCTCTGGACTAGTAAGTATATAATTCTAAGATGCTATTTAAGTCAACTGTGAAGTGATAACCTATCATTAATTGCCTCAAACCTTTTCATTTTGCATCCTGAAGGCAGTTTTGGGAAGGAAAGTCATATGTCCACTTTATGTAAAACTGTTTCTTTCTGCCTCCTGAAATCTTCAGCAATCCTTCACAATGCTTTGTAAAGCAGACGTTCAGTATTTAATTTAGAATCATATATCCTTGTTTTGGAACTGAAAAAGCAATGTTGCTGTAAGTAGCTGGAGTAAAAGAATAGTAACCTCCTATTCAGAGTATGCTGGGAAATTAATCTCTCCAATCTTTTAGGGGTGAGGGGGGAAGGGGACTGAGAGGTGGTCCCCAGAATACCACTCTGAGGAAACTGCATCTACCTATTCCTAATTCTTACAGACAGCTGTGCCTTTCTTCATACACATCTTTCCTTAAAATGTGTATGTTTTTCTCCCACTTTGTCTCATGGGAGCAATAACTGGAATATGGAGACTGTGCTGATACACAAGCAATGGGAAGGTTGAAGTCCTTAGTAAGTGCAGCTTATTTTCTTTAAAAACTCAGGATCCAGTTATGACACTTGGACTATTTCCAACTGCCTAGGCCTGTATTTCAAAGGTGGCCTTGAAACTCAGTGGAGTTCCAAGATAATGGCTAGGAGACAGCACAATAAAAGTTGTTCAAGTGAACAGTGAACCATGTACATGTGCCTCCTTCTTAAAGCCTTTAATTCAAACTACCTTAAACAGATCTTTAAATAAACATGCTACTTACAAATTTTTAACTACCAAACTGAAATAAAGGCAGAGGAGTTACTGCTGTTGGAACTTCACAGCTGACATCTCTAACGGGCTTTAGAAGCAGCTAGTTTGCTATACATCACCATGAAATACTCTGGATCAACAAGCATTTAATTTGTAACAGCTTTTAAATCTAAACTCTAATGGGGGTGGGGTGGGTAGACAGGTGTTGTGTGGAGGTCTATCACTACTTTGACATAATAGTCTTCTTAATTTGTAGTGGTTGGAAATACAAGGTGAACTCAGTCTGAGGAAACTAGCAGAGGGTTCAGAGTATCGAGAGGAACTAAAATACGACTTCAATATAAAAGGGGAACTGAGGCATCTGGATACAAATGAGTCCTTTGTTTTCAATTACTACAAGAATGACCATGAGCAGAATCATAAACGCTATGAAGTTCTGGGACATTTTATTACTCAGTATGTTTATGAGCTCCTGGAAAGAGTCTGCATGCTGCAGAAGGTTTATATTCCTACTGATGCTACAGAGGATGAACCAAGAAGCTTCTTTTTCATGAGCAAGGATGCACTAACAAGTTCCTCTAGCCTAATTATCCTTCTTCAAGACCGTGGAGTTTTTTGTGCTGGACAGTGGGGGCGAAGGGCAATTGTCAGTGAGGGCCTGAAACATGGAACACAAATACCATTCATCAAAATGGCCCTGCAAAGCCACTGGGAAGTGATTGTACTGAACCCCAATGACAATTTCACTGATCTGAACACTGAAAAGGAGAGATTTTCTGCCAGGGAAGAAGCGCTTACTTTTACCCAGGGTGCCTGTTGGATCCCCAAAAGGGGCAGCAGCAGCCCTGAAGAGCATACCGTGTATGTATGGGATCATTTCATTGCACAGAGTGCAGCCAGGAACGTGGCCTTCATTGCCCATGGCTATGGGGGGTTGGTGTTTGTTGATCTGCTGGTGCAGAGGAAATGTGAGGTGATGAATAAAGTGTGCTCTGTGGTGTTCATCGACTCCACGCACAACGTGCAGCACCAGAGCAGACATGATCCAGAAATACAGGAATGGATAAACAAAAACTGCCAAGAATGGGTGTCTAACAGTAAACCCCTAAATAAAACTGTGCACTTTCTCATGAGAGCAAATTGTCCCACTTTCTCTGCTGGAACAGAAAAGTATAGTTTAGCACCCTCCTGCTGCTTACAATCCATCTTTAAGTACCTGAAAACCATGCTGAAAGCCAAGATCACAACAGCCTTGAGGAGTTCACCTGTTGCAACTAGAAGCAACACAAGAAAGAAGACAGGCAATAAATAAAGGTACACTGGTTTGTTCTTGATAGTGGTCTCTCCCTTTCATAAGTGCTTCTGCTCCTTTCCATCACTTAAGCACCTTCATCTCACTATGGAGAAATTCACAGTTCTGAGTTTGAAACTATGTTTGGTTTTGGGAAGAAAAACACTATTAGGAAATATATGCCTTGTTTAAAGCCTTAAGCCACAACCCTTTGGCTAGCTGTGAAATTTAAAGTTGAATTCAAGATGTTAAGGTATACCAACTCTCATCTATCATTTTCTATAATAAACATTCTATAGTTTTGGCTCTATAATCAGACTAAACGATCAGGAAAACATTTGCTTAAGTGCTTAGTTTCATTAGAAGGCCAAATCTGGAATAGCAAAACATGTAACAATCTGTTTCCTCCTATGTATCATGTATTGTTTAAAATCTACCAAGAGCTGGAACACACGGAGGTAAAATAATTTCCATTTTAAAGCCCACTGAGCCTGTGAGAATACTGGACATGAGCTGCTACAGAGATACACTAGTCTGGCAACCTGCAGTTACCAAGCTGATGCAAGGGAATTACACTGCTTTTCTCTCTCACTTGTTTAACTTTAGAAAAAGGTGGGACACACGTTTTTTAAATTTACATACTCGAGGCTTGCAATGTGTACAAGCAGAAGTTAAAAAATCTTTAAAGTGAATGTAAACAAAAGAATTATTCTTAAATTCCAGTTTGAACCCATGGGAATCAAAACTGCTCAATGGCCACAAAAAAGGATCCTTTGAAGGATGACAAAACCTTCTCCTACAAGTGTAGAGCATTCTAATCTCAGTCAAAAAAGCTGTTGAACCGTAATAATGGCTATCAGAGAGAAGAGAGCATCAACTTGCCTTTGTATTTATATCCACTTCAGATTTCAGTCATCATCTCTCTCAGAAGAAACTTCTGTCCTGTTACACAGCAATGGATAAAATATAAAATTCCATTGGAAAGGCATATTTAATTGAAAGTTATTGAGAGCAAGTTCTTGAGAGCAAGCACAGCTTTTTTTATTAATGTCAGACAACTACCAGAGTGCCTCGGTTCCCTGGAGAAGATGCCACAGCCCTAGATGCACACAGCACACAGCTCCAAGAACCTTTGTGAACTCTATGCATGAACATTTATGAGAGCAGCATGAGGTGACAGAATATCTGTCTTCAGAAGGAGACCAATATGATCCTTCAGGATAAATGCTCAAACTGTCCCACAACGTCAGGGGAGGCCAACAGCGCTCAAAGGAAAAAGAGATCTGCAACATCGTCCATTTGTGTAATTCTTATCTCAGGTACACCCATTAAATGCCTTGGTAGAGAAGGTCGTATTTGGGAATGTTCTTGGGATCAATAGGACTTCTCACAATAAGCTTTCCCCGCATTGCTCCGCGGTAGATCACTTCAATCAGATCTATAAAGTCTTGCTTCGTTTTGAAGCTTCCCACAAATTTGGTGTGATCTGGAGACCTAAATATAAGCATAAGACAAAGGCAGAATTGTAACGTTAAAGTATTCAGAGAAAAACCACCTAAAAATGTGAAATGATGCCCAAAGGAGATAAGGAGTTCTGATCTGGTCATTCTGAAAGAATGAACTAACTTTGTAATGGCATAACCAAGTCACAAATGGGATCTCCAATGGTCAAACAGGTGCAGCATCATGTCTAAGATTTTAATAATTTCTTACTATTTTTGCAGAGTTGGACATATTTAACCTGCTTATTGCATGAAAGCATATTTCAGATTACTTTCCTAATTACATCCTTCTGGCTTCCTACAGAATTCTCAATGCAGATGCTGGTAACAACATTATAGTTTTCAAATGTTACCTTCCCCAGACATGACAACATAGAAAAAGACTGATAATTCTTACAGACATAATAGACAGTGGTAGGATGACTTACCCATAATCAACCTTCATGTGTTGTCCATTGAAGAAAAATACAGTAGATGGAATATAACTGATGTCAAAGTACTGGGTGTACACTGGGACGTCGTTCACATCCACCAGGTAAATGACTGCCATTTTACTGAGGTCATGAGCTGTTTTTGCAAGCTGGAAAGAGTGAGAAAGGCAGATGACAATTAGACTGATATACGAGGAAAAGAGGCTGGCAAGATTTATAAAGCCTGTTTCTCTTATGTGTTACCAGTTAAAGCAGGTGTAGAATATCACATCTCTACCTCAAGCCTTTGTTCAGCCACTACAATAGTAACACAGATGCTTGCTTTTCAAACCTTTTTATAAATATAGTGTAATCTCATTCTATACCAGTCACCAAACTTTTCACGAGTGCCCATCTTAGCAAAAGCAACATTCTCTTCTATGCACCAACTATACTTATACAGTCTGTTAAAAAAAAAAAAAAAGTCTTACAATATCATCGAGCTGCAGACAAACAGCATCATTATCTCTTCCAAAACGGAGAACCAAAACCTTCTCAGCGACGCTTTTTATTGCCTGATCCACCTCCCTCTTGCAGGTCAGTTTGGGCAGCAGGAAACTCATGGCGACGGATCACGGTCTGCACTGAAATCGCAGCCTTACAGCGAGGGCAAAAACAACAAAACAACGCACCATCAAACAACAGCGACCCGCGGGGCAAAAAGAAGAGACGCTTCTCTGTGCTCCTAAATGTTTTAAAAGGAAAAAAAGGCTGTGAGGGGAGTGAAGAGGAGAGAAGGAGGTACCGGAGATCGGGCTGACAAACCCCGCGGCCCCGGCGCGGCGGCGGGGCCAGACCGGGGGCAGCAGCCGCCGGCAGCGCCCTCAGTGCCCGGGGCCACCCCGGGAGTGGAATAGCGATGGAATAGCGATGGAACAGCGATGGAATAGCGATGGAAACCGGGAGAGTTGGGATCGCTCCCGCCGCGAGGCCGCCCGGAACGGCGGCGCTGCGGCCGCGGGGCGCGGGGGAAGGACAGCCGAGGGAGCGCCGCGCAGGCGCAGCGGCTCCGCGGGGTCAGCGCGGCGGCGGCGCGGCCGGGCCCGGCGGGACCGCGGGGCGGCCCGGGCTGCGACCGGCACGGCACGGCACGGCACTGTACTGCCCCCACCGAGCCCCACCGAGCCCCACCGAGCCCGGCGAGCGGGCGGAGCGCGGCCGGACATCGGACAGGTGCTTCTGGCCGCCCCGGAGGCCGCGGGCCCCGGAGGCCGCGGGGTGCCGGTGTCCCGGGAGGGCCGGGGGGGTGTGAGCTGGCGTGAGGCTGCTCCCGGGCTGGTTGGGAAGTTGTTCAACACCTGCAGTGCTGCTGCAGCGGCCTCATCGGCGAGAGTCTAAAGGGGTGCCGGGAGTGTAGGTCCGGGCTCGGTGCCGAGCCGTGGGACAAGAGGCAATGGGTGTAGGAACCGATGCACAGAAATTCCATTTATTCACATGGGGAAGGATTTCCTTACTGTGCTGGTGGCCGTGCACTGAACAGGCTGTCCAGAGAGGCTGTGGAGTCTCCCTCACTGGGGATACTCCAGACCTGCCTGGACACAGTTCTGTGCCATGTGCTCTGGGATAACCCTGCTGGAGTTCCAATCCTCCCGGTTGGAACAGATGATCCGCTGTGCCCCTTCCAGCCTTACCCAGCCTGTGCTCCTGGGTGTGCAGCTGTGCTGGAGAAGTAAGGCAACTTGTTCAGTCTCTGAAACATCACTGAAGAGCCTTTCTGTTACTGAGACGAGTTGCAGTGAAGTCACGCTCAAAAGGAAAAGAAAAATACTTTCAGTGCTACAAATCTGGCTTCTTCAGAGAGCGTTAGGTTAATTCTCGCAGTAGCAGGGTTAGTGTGAATGACACACTGCAAGGTAACTTGGCTGTATCAAAAGCTGTCATCGGGTATTCTGACAGTGTAAATCTGGTGCTCAGTATTGACTTAATTGGAGCTCCAGTAATGTAAGTTAATTGAGGAACTGATCCCTTGGTTTCTCCATGCTTCTTTGGTTATTACTTTTGTCGTTAGTTTAATGCTTCAGTGTGAAATTAGGGATACTTCCATTGTAGCACTTACAAATTTTCGTGTTGTTAGGTTGCTTGGTTGTTCTTGTTTCTTTTATCTTAATAACAGTAGAGCATGAGAGGTCAGCCACCAACTTGAGCAATTACTGTGTAATAAAATACATGCCAGGTTGTATAGCATTTCTAAATAATACACTGCTCCTTCTGTGCCTCTTATCTGAGCAGGTACATATTTACAAACCCAGCATTAGATTCATTAACTTCTTCTTCTGTATATCACATTATTTTCAGTCTATTAGGAAGATTATGAATTTTTGATTTTAAAATTAGGAATTGATTCTAGTTTTATCCAAATCACGTTTCCTCTGGGACTGAAACTTCACTGATGCTTAGTTCAGTAGTGTGCATAGGCCAAGGAAACTATTAAATGTTCTTGTGTGTGTTTTTCTTTCTGCAGACCTTTCATATTTAAATACAAATGTGGATAAAATTAATGGGACTGGGGAGGGCTTATGTGCCTATGCCAACTTCACAGACAGTTTAGCAAAAAGAAGAAAGATGGTGTTTTCCTGTACTAGTTTTTATTCTTCCATGTCTTCTTTCTGTTTTCACAGGATAGATAAATGATATAAAAATACTTCTGGTTTCCTTGCAGCAGTTCACTGATTTTGGTTGGGAAGGCTCATGATGTGATACAGATGACTTGAAGAGATCTTGCACAGTCTTGAAGGTTGTTTGACTACATTTTGAATTGCAGTAAGTATAGCTGGTGTAAGCTGTTTTATTTAGGAAACAGTAAAAAATTCATAGTAGAAGGAGGACTTTCTAGCATCCTCCAAGAAGTAACCTATTGTCTGTTAGTGTTACTAAGAATAAAATCTGCATGTGTTTTCTTTGTGATTTCTGACAAGTTTTTTTCTCCTGTTATTGATGTTTCACAGATAAGTGTTGCAGCACAGCACACGTCTAAGTATGCAGTCTGCTAATATGCTTCTGAGAAGAATTGTAAGATGTTCTGTCCTTCCATTTGCTGTGCAACATGGGATGAAAAAGGATTTGTTTCCACTCAGTAGAGCTCTGAGTTTATCTCATTGTTTGAAGCAGGTCAAGTCATGTGAACCCTCAGAAAAACTGGATTTGGATGAGTGGAAGAAGGTCATGAAATCTGGGTTGCAAGAAGAGGTCAGTGAGACAGCCTCGGAGCCTAAGGAGCTTTCCAGCTTGGCTGCTGCACGTGAGACTTTGGAGATGTGGAGGCTAGCTGGCAGAGCAGTTCCAGAAAATGTTAGTGAAGAACAGCTGAAAACTTTTATGGAGTGTCCTTCTAAGTCAGCCAAAAAGAAGTATTTAAAATATTTGCATCTCAAAGAACTTCACAAGAAAAATGACAAAAGAAAGATGGATGAGAAAAGGGAGAGGAGGCTGGAAGCACAAGATCAAGCTCCAAAGCCAGAAGAGACCAAAAACTGTCCGTTCGTGTGTTTATGGTCCCGCACTATGGATAAAGCGTACAACTGGAGGGCTGCTCAGTCCATGGTCTTTGGCCAGCCTCTGGTGTTTGACATGTCTTATGAAAAAGAAATGTCTGTGCGAGAAGTCACAAACACAGTGAAGCAGATAGTGATGAGTGAAAGCAGCAATCGCAGATCTGTGGATCCGTTCCACATCCACTTCTGTAACTTCAAGGATGACAGCCTCTATCACAGGGAATTTATCAAGAATTACAGAGATGCATGGGACAAACTGCTTATCACAGTGACAGAGCAGTGCTACACAGAAATCTTTCCAAAGGATAAGCTCATCTACCTGACAGCCGATTCTCCCAATGTAATGAAAACGTTTGATCACGATAAGATCTATATTGTTGGGTCGCTGGTTGACAAGAGCATAAAAACAGGAGTCTCCTTAGCACGGGCAAAGCGATTGGGACTGGAGACTGCAGCCCTTCCACTGGAGAAGTATTTGCTTTGGAGTACTGGTGCCAAAAATCTCACACTGGATCAAATGATGCATATTTTATTAACCTTGAAAGATACTGCTGACTGGAAAAAGGCTCTGGAATTTGTTCCAAAAAGGAAATACTGTGGCTTTGTAAACAAGCCTGTAAAAGAACTGAAAAAAACGTTAGACCTGATCAAGACACTTAAACTTGGAAAGGGACGGGAAAAAGTAGAAAAGCAATTTGCTAAAAATTACCCCAAGAAGTATAAACTAAAGCAAAAGTAGAGTGATGGGGAGGAAAATGAATTTTTTACACACAAACTGTATCCTTTAATGCTCTGACTTCTTGGTACATCTGGAACTCTGTTCAGCTGTTAATCTAGAACATGATTTGTTGCATATGTTTGAAATGACCATTGTTAAGAGTTGGGTTTTTTAATGACTTTAGTAGTCCAGCTGTTTAAATTTATTCACAAATTATTGAAATTATGTAAGAGAAATGAGATGATCTGTTGTTTAAAAAAAAAAACTCTACACAAAGACTATCAGTCTGTTCAATTGAACTGTGCTTGGACAAAGGTGATTGTTACTGAATGCAAAGGTCTTCAGAGCTCACTGCTTTGGAGGCTGCCTACAATTTTATTCTAACAGATAACTTAAGATGAAGTAGAAGAGACCTCTCCCATTACTTCCTGAATCCTCTTGTATGCAGATGAATTGATAGCTGAACTAAATGGTTAAAACCTTGTGTGAGTTTGGGGAACTGCACCATTTATTTCTGGATGTTCTATCTGGCACAAATAAAGTCCCTGTTTGCAAGGAATCAGGCAAAATTCTTTACTATGCTGAAAAAAATTAATCTTACCTACTTCTGTGTAAGACTTTTATCCCAAAGTGCCTGTGTTTTCAGGCCATGTAATGTAGATTTCCCAAACTTCTGAGATGGTAAACTGCCCTATTAGTAAATACTTAAGGGGAGCAGAGAGCCTTTTAATATTTCTCACAGCTCAAAACACATTTCTTTCTCTCTGGAAGTCTGTGTTCAAGCTGCAGAGCTGCCATGGGCAGCTAAATACAGGTCTGCTGTCCGTAGAATGAGGAGGGCTTTCTGTGTGGGTGATGCTTAAAGTCAGTGATGGCAGATGATGAGTTGGTGGTGACCCACTGCCTGGTGACTTCTTCCTACACTGTTGTAAGGTGGGGATTGGAAGGTAGAAGATTCAGTGCCCTGATAGTGCCCTTCACTGCCTGTTGTGGTGTGCAGGGGCCTGCAGGCATGGATCGCCTCCGGCACAGGGAAAGAGCCGGTTCCTTTCAGCTGTGTGTGGCTGGGAAGTACACAAAGCTTCACCCTAGGGTGGTGTTCCAGGCGGTGCTTGAGAGCTGCCCTGAAGTGCAAGGAGAGGCTGTGTGAGTGTGTGTGCCCTGCTCAGGCAGACTCGTTCCTCCAGGGAGGAAGAGACAACAATTCACCTGGCCCGAGCTCCCGAATCAAGCAGGGTCACCCCGGAGCACACGCACGGCACAGGGCTGCATCTGGAGGCTCTGGGATATCCAGCAAGGGAAACTCCATAGCCCCTCTGAGCGACCTGCCCAGTGCTCGGTCACTGCACAGGAAAGGATCTATTCCTCATGTTCGGGTGGAACTCCTGTGCGCCAGTTTCTGCCCGCTGCAGCCTGGGGTATTTACACACACCGAGGAGGCGGTGAGGCAGTAAATGGTATTTGGAGGGCGCGGCAGCGGTTCCTTCGCACCCCCGACATGCAGAGCTCATGTACCAAATCTTCCAAGAGCTGGAACATCTACTTTCCTCCTTGAAACACGTACTGTTAAGCTGAACAATGCTTCAGGGAAGTAAATACTGCTACATTCCTGTTGTGCCCCAAACGGGAGGTAAAATAATTTCCATTTTTAGGCCAACTGAGCCTGTGAGAATAGTGCCGTGAGCTGCTACATGCGATGCTGGGAGTGCCGGGGGGTGACTGATCCCCGCTTTTCCCGGGGAGGGGATGCAATCCGTGCCCGCCTGAG